TCCTTGTTGACACGGCGACGCTCAACTCTGGCCTCTTTTCTGGCGATGGCATCTTCGATTGTGTCATCGTCGGCATCCACAGCCATAAGCCATTGCTCCTCAGTGAGACCATCGTCGTACCGAGTAACCTTGCGCTCACGTGCGCCGCGACCAGCCATCTCAACCTCGACTTCATCCGTAACAGGGTTCTCCTCAGAGACATAAATTTCTGGAAGTTCATCCTCGCACATCAAGCGTGGCAGCGGGTGGCCAGGTCCGTAAGGATCTCTTGTTGGTCTCTCCTTGTCGAGGCGCTGGAATACAACCAGCTCTTCATCAGACCTTGCCATGATATCATTCAAATCATCATCATCCATTTCCTCCTGTTCATTGATCTGATCAGCGGCCTCGGCGGTTTCGAGGAGTGTCCGTAGTAAGGCTTCTCGTTCTTCATTAGTAGACTTGTTGTCGAACTTTCCTGCCTGAATGACTTTGCCATCCATGTCGAGCTTGAACTGCGCACGTTCAAGGATCTTCTCTTCAACGGAATTGGAGCTAATCAAACGAAGAATACGAACTTCATTCTTTTGACCAATACGATGCGCACGGTCTTGGGCTTGTAGATCTTGGTGGGGGTTCCAGTCGGAATCGAAGATGATGACAGTGTCTGCCGACTGAAGGTTAAGACCGAGACCACCCGCACGTGTGGAGAGTAAGAAGCAGAAGTACTCCGAATTCTCGGCGTTGAAAAGTTTCAGGAGATCAGAGCGATCGTCAGACTTGGTGGAACCGTCAAGACGGAGATACTTCATTCCACGAAGGCGCAGGAAATCCTCCATGATGTTCATGATCTGGGTCATTTGGAAGAACATCAAGACGCGGTGACCAGTGGCCCGGAACTTGGGCAGGATTCTGTCCAAAAGTTCGAATTTACCTGCCGTACGCCAAAGTAGATCGTTGGTCCCTCGCCCAGGGTTCATTTGATCCTCTACAGGCTCAAAGACGAAAGGATGGTTGCAAAGTTTTCTCAGCTGCATCAACATGTTGCTCAGACCGCGCATACCAGTCTTGCCTCCCTTTCCATCGCTAACAGCCATTTTGTTATGCGTAACAAGTTGCTTGTACAGCTTGGCCTGCAAGGCAGAGAAACGGCACTTGATGACCCTTTCTTGCTTATCTGGTAGATCTTTCTCGACATCCTTCTTGAGACGTCTGAGCAAGAAGGGACGAAGAACCTTGTGCAGACGGCGAATGACCAGCAGCTGTTCTTCTTCAGACAGCTCCATTCGATCCTGGCCACCAGTGTTGGCGAATGGGGTATTGAACCACTCATCGAACGATTTCACAGATTTGAAGATGTTCGGCAAAACGAAATTCAGAAGTGCCCACAATTCTGGCAAATTGTTTTGCAAGGGAGTACCGGTCAGAATCAAACGATAGCGGCTGGTATAGTACTGTGATAGAGTACTGCTCAGCTTAGACTGCGTGTTTTTCATGCGGTGGCCCTCATCGACGATCATATGGTTCCACTTGACCTTGCTCAAAATCGGTCGATCTTTGATAATGTATTCGTATGTAGTCAATAAAACCTGGAAGTTTCCCCAACGAATCTGCTGCTGCTGCTGCTTACGCGCATTCGGAGGACCCTTGTAGACAACTCTCGCAACGGACGGGGCCCATTTCTCAAACTCCAAGTTCCAGTTGGTGAGGGTACTGAGAGGCACAATGACAAGGAACGGGCCATTGTTCTTCTTCTTTTCAATAATGTAGGTGATCAAACTAATGGTCTGAATGGTCTTTCCTAGACCCATCTCGTCTGCCAAAATACCATTAAGGTTGTTGTTATAAAGTGAAATCATCCATTGCAGTCCCTTCATCTGGTACTCCTTGAGCGTGCCGCCAACGAGGATAGAAGGCTGCTCAAGGACAGCTTCTTTAATTCTATGGGCGACAGCATAGTAATCAATTTTGCGTCTTCCGCCGGTTTCGTCGTCAGTTCCGGACCCAACATCTTCTTCCTCCTCTTCTTCTTCGTCGTAGAACTGATCATCCTCGCCATATCGTTCTGCCAGGCTACGTTGTTGTTCTCTAACCGAAGCAGCAAGCTGTTTAAGGAAATTGTCGGTCTGTTTGAGCAGATGAGAGATACGTGAATCTTTGGCCTGTCCCAAAAGTTTCAAGTAGGTCTCCTCATCGTTAGCCTTAAGAGCCTGGAGACGTTGCTTGGCAGTACGCTCGACACGCTTCTGCTCCTCACGCTCCATGTGCTGGTGGTGTTGAAGCATCATACGACCCAGTTTCTGCATACGAGTGCGCTGTTGGTTTGCAGCATTCTGCAGCTCAGCACCATGGTTAAGGATGGCTTGAAGTTGATCGTATTGTTTCCTCTTCTCCCTGGTCTCACGAGCATCACGCTGTTGTTTCTCTAACTTCTCGGTAATCCTAGCCTCACGCAATGACTGCTTCTTCATACGGCGATGATTAGAGCGGTTCGCGGTCATTCCTAGATTATCGAAGTGAAACATTTCGTTCTGTATCTGTTTTCGGAACATCCGTTGCTTTGGAAGGAGATTGAGCATCTTGTATTCAATGAGGGCCTTCAACTTCAACGAGTCATCACCTGTTGCGGTATCGCTTCGGCTTGTATCCCATACGCCTATATTAGCAGGCAGCTCGGCCAATTCCGCTTTCCTGGCGTTGATTTTATTATACAGAACCAGCTCTCTTTCCTCGCGCACTTGTTCCAGATCAATACCGGGTGGCATCAAGGCAGGAATGCGCGTACGATATGCGCGGGAAGCGTGGTCGGAAAAGCTGATGGTTTTAGGAACAGAATCATAGGGCGATTGAAATGTTTCATAAAAATCTTTAGATTGGGGGGAAGTCTCTGTCGCACTAGCAGGCTGCTCTGTCTTGTTTTGAGACACGCCTACCAAGACGTTCTCTGCTGCTGTCACATTGTCTGAGGGGCCCGGGGTTTGCTGTTTTTTAGATGCGAACAGTTGCTCCTGAACACGAGGTGGGATTGAGAGATTCTTTGATAGCCACTTGAAAGCGACGATCTGATTTCTAAGCGTGGCCAGCTGCTCAGCCGAAAAACTACCACTAGCAACAGGCGCTCCTTTCTGAGACGCAACCTGTCCTAGGGCTTGCTGCTGACTACCTGCTTGGGTGGAAGTGCCATCCTGAACGGCACTGGTACCAGAAGACACAGAGTTCGTCCGACCTGGATTGCCAATGACAAGGTTAGATAAAGATTCTAGCCAGTACACGTGGAAATGTTCAGAGTGGCAGGCTTACCATTGACACCATTGGCGGCGGCAGAGTCTGGGCCGGCACCATTGATTTGTTGACGTTGTTGCGCCTGGAGCTGCTGCTGTGCAACTTGTCTTTGCTTCTGGAAAAATTGCTGTCGCTGAACGGCCGAAAGAAGGTGCTGGGCTTTCAGGAATTCGGGGTCATCATGGCGGACACCTTGCTCTTGCATCTGCTTGTACTTCTATGCGGCTGTCAGAGGGATCAATTGAAGTAGACATTGCCAAAGACAATTGATAGAGGAGAGGAACAAAGAAAACAAAAGAACAAGTAGGGGTTAGGAGCCCAGCGCGAAAATATGGCAAGGCGACGTACCTGGAACACCTCTTGAATATGCTGCTGTGTCAAATTTGGCGGCAGGCTCATGTTCCCAGTCGCCATGTTTGGTGCTGACTGGAGGGAAGCCATGATTTAGCGCGTGGTTTTACTGTTCATAGGCGGAGTAAACACGTTGGAGTTGACCTAGATGCGACAAAACCCGCGACCAAGCAGCTAGGATAACACGTGGAAAACGAGAGTGGTAAGAGTGAACGATAATTCGCAGCTATAGGGCGATGAAGCGCGCCAATTTACAGACGTGGAGGAGAAGTGGGCGCCTTGTATCGATGGATGCGACTGATAGCGGCCTGTATCTGGACCTTGGCGACAAGTTTCGTGATGTTTTGGGGTGGGAAGATACAGGGCGGTAGGCGACCGACCGGAAAGAATCAGTAATAAGGGAAGGGGGAGTGGCCCAACGCGATGCTAAATGGGTGATGGAGACCCCAAATGGAGGGGTCGCGCTGAAAAGGGCGCGTGGAAGGCCTGTATGGATGAAATGGAGATGGAGGGGACGGGGCTTTCGCGACTTTCCGTGCTGGTCGGGGAAACTGGCTGTGCTCAGCCTTTGCCTGTAACGAGGAGAGGTAGGCGGCGAGACGTTGGAAGAAGATTTCGTGCCGCCCGCACGTGATGCCATGCTGACTCATCCGTCCCGCCGGCCGTGTTCGGGTTTTGGGGAAGCAAATAGGAAGGCGCCGGTTAGTTACTGGTTTGAGCTTCAGCTATCCTTAGTTTAGACTAGTTCATCACTAGGTACTACACCATATCAAGGTATCAGGGATGGTTTACGGAGTAGTAGGTACTAGCACAACAAGCAATCAAACAGATTTAGCCAAGAATATGGCCTTATTTTCATACTATATGCTCATTTATTGGAGTATCTGCGTAGTAGGCTTCTTACTCAATTCCAGAAGACTCACGCTACTGGCGTAACACGTATTATATATAAACTAAGACTCCCATTCAAAATCTTTCGACACCAACCCTACCACATCTACTACACTTCATTACTAAGTGAACTGAATGACTATAATCGACAACAGACAGTTGATCAAATCATGTACACCGTCACCCAACCCAGTGAAGCATGAAAAGCATGGTCCCTGGCTTGAAGTTCATTCAATCTGTTGGTAGAACCTCGAACACCTGGCTATCAGGCGGGCTCGTTGGTGAGCATCTGACTCGTAGATTACCTAGTTATCCAGAGGGGCTCAATGAAGCTTGGTTTGTCAAGTCCCTGGGGTGACCGGATAACGAGGCCAACAGACATATATATATATATATTACTTTTGCCAGTCGCATGAGTTCCCAGATGAACCCAACTATGCCTTTATATCATATCTTAACTTTCTCACATTTATAAAAAGATTCGACGCAGTTGACGCCGACAATCCAATATGCACGCCTAAGACATTTATGCATCAAAAGACGATGTAGTTTATCCTACATATAAACAAAGGTATATCGAGAGCATCTTTGCACAACTATAAATACAAATGCTGCCGCATACTACTACATGCCAATGAATATCATCAATAGCAGACTGATCATCTACTGCCACTCACCGCAGGCAAGTGGATAGTAGCCATGGCCTCAAAAGCCCCGCAAAATGAAAATGTTATGACACCCCATTGCGATCTATCCGCCGCAGCCTCCTAGAACTATCTGTGATGTCTGATGTGAGGCGACCCTATGCTTCGCCAGCACTGAGTATAGGCTTTTTCATAGGCGGTGGCGGTGGCGGCTTCTTCGCGCGCGAAGGTGGAGGGGGTGGAGGTGCTTTCTTCTGTACCGCAGCTCCATTCAATGTCGTCGAACTGCTTCTTCTCGTAACACCCCCAAATGATGATACCGGGGAATCAGATCGCGGGCTGGTCTCCTCAGACGGATCGGCAGCCATCCGAGCCAGGACGCTGTTCCTGCCGGTAATGAAATTCTCACTAGGCGCTCGATATGGTCGAGGACTTGGGCTGTACGCTTGCTCCTGTCGTAGTTGTGCTGGACTTTCGAACGTTGAAGTCCTATTGAGGAAAGGCCTCTGCGGTACAGTCTCCGGGGCATAGACTTCTCTCGAGTCACCCACATCGGACGGAGACCTGCTTGACCGAATAATGGGGCGCAGATCTGCCGAGTTGCTAAGTTCCTCATGCAGGGGTTCGCATCGCTCCTGATACGAATGGGCTGTGCTAGCACGGGCACGACCAGGTCGCCGACCACTCGAACTTTGTGCCTGAGATTGCCTGTCACGGAATAATTAATACACCTGTGAGAGGCGTTTCCTTGCGTCGACAGTTACTCACCGGCTAGGCCACTCATTCTTGAGTTGGAGAAGGACTTCTCTGCACTTTTCGTGGTAGTTCAACTGCGCTTCCAAAAATGCTTCCAAATCCGCAATACTCTCTGCTTCACCTTCTTTAATGTCCTGCATCCGCCGGTATACATCATCGTTAGCCTCCTCATATTTAGCCTTCTGGGTCCGAAGTTCTTCCTCTGCGCGGAAATCCTCCTTCTTTGCCTTCTGCATTTTGGACAACGAAGTGTCAAAAGCCAACCGTCGACTGTCGAGTTTCCTACGGGCATTCTGTATTCTATTAGGCATGCTGCAGCGATATCTAGTGAATGTGATGAATTTACCTGGTACTGCTTCATCTGCGCCAAGGACCGATCCAGGGACTCAAGCCAGCTTGAGTTCGCCTCTGCGATATACGACTCCTGGAGGCGAGCAATGCGCTCCTCTGTCCGTCCGAATTCTGTGGAATTGGAAATGAAATTGTTAGACGCGTGGATTTCAGGGAGATTGTGGAGGGTCATGGGCGATAACGTACTTGTAAGGCAACGGCCGTAATCTGAATGGGCGTCATAGTCCTCGCCATGGCTGACCATGCTAGTGCCCAAATGACCAATGGGTAATGTCTTCTCTTTATCATCACCTTCGCTGCGCTTCGAGACGGCTTTGACGTAGGCAATCATGGACTTGTGAAGGCGATCAAGACCTTGACGAAAAATCAGCCATTGGACGAATCCTTTCAGCTTTGGTATATATCGGCGGACTCACCTTCGTTTCGCACGCCCATTTCTGTCTCCATGGCTTTGAAATCATCCGAGAGATTAGTTTTGACCTCACCACCCATTCTCTCCCCCGCCCATTGCTTGAAGCGATCAAATTTCCTGTTGACGTTCATGGTGACCGAGTATAGTAGTAAGTGATACGGTTCGACGAATGGAAGAGAGGTTAAAAACGAATTGGAGATAAAAGCAAGATGGATCTGGCCAGCAGATTGGCAAAATAGAGAACGCAAAAATAAAAAGAAAACCGGCCGAACGCAGATGGGCACGAGACAATGAAAACGATCTTCCCCGCGGTGATCTAAGGGTAGAAAAGTGAAGAGAATAGAACAAGGTGGATTGTCGCTGGTGGAAGCAGGTCAGTGACCAGCGAATTCAATCGGCGTACAGAGAATTGGCCTGTAGTTGAAGAAAGGGGAAGGGGGGAAAGTGGAAGGTGGAAAGAAAGGATGCGACACCAAGTGGGTGGGAGAGGATGTTCAGGGATTAAAGAGGTATCCGATGGAATGTTACTACTCCTACTGCTACTATTTTACCTGTTATGACTCTCATGATTCAATGGTGGTAATTTATTTTTATTTCGATCGATTATAATTCCTTTATTTGTTTCAGTTTACCACCGACAAATTACAAAAAAGAATTATTTTTTTTTTACACTTGAGAGAAAACAGCGATATGCATTTGGAAAACCATGAATCCGAGGGAGCAAGAAACGCCACATGGATCGCATTGGATTGGCTTTGCCTTTACCATACAATACCTTTCATCCTCCACTGGGTATCGTCCCTCGTACTCGTATGTCTAGACCCTTGAAGGTAAAATAACTTGGTACGTAAATGACCTCTTGTATAATAATAAATTACGTAGTAGTTACTTACTGTTATTAAAGGTGGGGACGTTATCCGTATGATTGGCACCAATTGTTTAGCTTCTATGTTCTTGTATCTGACGAGGAAAGTTAGGTGTACCTGAAACCTTAGCCTGTTGGATGGGGTAGTTTGAAGTCTATTATTATCTACGACTAGAGTGTATCACACAATGAAGCCTCATAGGTCAGTTTCATTCAACTGCAACAAGTGACACGCGTTTTTGTGGGGCTTCAAGTGGGGATGCGATGCCACAAATCTGCTCGGATTGTCAGTCTTCTTGAACTGGAAACGTTGCCACTGGACTATTTTCGGAACAGTGCATATTGAGGTCTAGTCCTCTGGTGTTTCTGCAAAATATATCTGGAGTGGTCTAACAAGGGTAGGTCTATATACTATCATTGGACAATTGATTTAATATCTCATCTAATTCTAGTACCTAGCTGTTATCATATGTTGGATTAGTTCCAATGATCTGCAGCTGAATTCATGTAAACTGGAGGGGTGTTAGCCTATAGCACTAAAGAACCATCCTCTCCATACATGAAACTCCATTTAATTTTCTCCTGTGAAGAAGTCTAGAAGCCCCGGTGGGTTACACCTGCAGATCGTGATGCGAAAGAGATAAACAAGGCGAACTACTCCGTATTTAAGTGGGTAGACTCTATCTCGATACACAAACTCTATACTTTTCAATACAACCTCGAATTCATCTGTAATGTACATGTTGGGGTTGACGATTGGGAAAGCATATCCATCCTGTACTCCGGAAGCACTGACTCCATGGTGGCCCAGCTCTGCCCATCTACGTCAGGTTGACCATCTGACTCTTGAGAACCCCTGCGGGACTGGGTGGAGCGATTAGCCCATACTAAATCCGGAGTATTTAGTACACGGGATGCTCTCCTCCTATTTCGTTCTTTCTCCTTTTCCTTGGATCAATGGACAGGTGTACGGCAGAACGAACACAGGCTAACCGCCGTCCTGGTTGTGTCGAGCGGCCCCCCCTGTGCAGGAGTTATCTAATATCAGGAGGTTATGAGAACCCTACCCGTCGAGAAGCAAGCCACTATTTCAGGATGGCATGGCAGTGTCTACGCTTGCGAGGGGAATATCCTTGTCCAGACGACTTGTTTGTTCGTGTGGCAACAGGGCATCCCCAATATCTTGGCCATGGTGCTCAGCGGTACCAGCAGCATCTTCCTTGGGTAACGAGATGAAGTCCTTCATAAATTGGGCATCGAACCCAGACTCATACTCAGCCTCCGCGGCTATCAAAGCGTCAAAATCATTCCAGTGAATAGTATCTCCAGAATCGAACATGTCATCACCCTCCAAGCCGCAAGAGAAAAAGGGCTTAAGGACATCGGAGCCCACACCACATGGTTTGAATTCTGTAATATTCGATACTCGGCTGCAGTCATCAAGGGGACCCCTAGGGGGGCCCTTCAGGATGGCAACAGCATATTGCCCAGGGGTGACGCCCACGAGCTTTTTGAACACTCGATGGAAGTGGCTTGGCGTCAGACATGCCTGGCTGGCAAGTTCCCTAAGTGTCGGTTTGGAGCCAGTCGCTATCTTTGACTGGATGGTTTTACATGCCCTCTGTATCACTTGGGCCTGAGGATTAACCGCTAGCAAGGTTTGTGGCCTGCAGCGCTTACAGGGTCTGAAACCTGCTTTTTCGGCTTGCGAGGGCGTATCGTAGAATCGGACGTTTGCTCTCCGGGCGAGACGAGCTGGGCACGATGGCCGGCAATATATTTTGGTCGTTAACACAGCGTACACAAATGATTCGGCTGTTGCATCTCGGCGCACCACTGCCTGCCAGCGGGCAGTAGCGGACAGGGCCGGCGAGGCACAAACGGGTAGACGAGGTAGTTCCAGGGGCAGATCCTCCTGATTCATCACGTATAATGTGTTATAAGCCTTTGTCTAGCTTAACGGAAGATGAGATAATTCATGGAGAACATTGTTCGAAGAAAGTCGGTGTCTGGAGCATACGCTTGGCTTACGGACGATTTCCTCAGCCAGTGGCGTCTGGAACCGCTGATTGGTCAGTTTAATATCAATCATTTCGCCTCTAAGTAGAAAGTACATACCATCAGCCATACTTGAAGCCTCGGGGCGCTTTGTCAATTGGTTTCTGGTTGTATGAGAACTTGCTATATTTATATTATTTATTTTTTTTCGGGTACGGCGAGAAGGGTAGCATTCATTCGACGTCGGCTTTGTGTCAAGGGGATACTTTAGCAACGAGATAACAAAAATAGGTCGCGCCATATATGTAGACAGATAAATATGTCCATATATATATGGGCTTTGGTATCGAATATACTCCCGAGAAACTCATTTGATACGCAAGCGCTGAAAATCAATATAAATTTCAATCCCACCGGGGATGCAGAGACCTCACGACTTGCTTTATCATTACCCCATATAAGTAGATCATGGCTACAGCGTGCTAATTACTCTTTTATGGCAGTGCTAAGACCACACCATGAATGCATCTAATTGAAATTCGGACACAGCGCTTATGAATCCACATAAACTACACAGTAGACGGGCAACAAGTGGATCATGAATTCTTACAACCAAGTGGAGCACCAGGCTGGGGGAACATGAAATCTACAAGGACTGGATAAATGATAAGAATTATTCCGCCATGAACAAACAAGGAAATATTCTTCATTTTTTGGTCTTAACGTTTTTTGGCAAATGCTTTGAGATGCACGTAGAGACTCGATTTCTGGCCCCCTCTTTTTTGTTTTAATCATCAATGAAATTGTTGGCCACAACCATATTTCGCTAAGGACGCGTGGTAGGTTATCCGCAGTCGCCTAAGTACATGTGCCTCATAGCAAAAGAGCATTTTGAACCCGTCACAAACAAAAAAACTCCACACCATAATACCCTTACTCCTTGGTCTTCTGGGTACCACGGAGCAGACCGGTTCTCCGGGCAGCGATAAGACCGGCTTTTTGACCCTGGGCGGCGTAGCGGGAGATGGTAGAAGCCTTACCAATGTGCTGGTGGTTACCACCACCGTGAGGCTATAAAAAAGTAGGTCAGAGATTGATCCCTTCCAGAGCAAAAGACAAGGGTTCCTTACGTGATCAACGGGGTTCATGGCAACACCACGAGTCTTGGGCCAGGAGTTGCGCTTGACAGCGAACTTGTGCTTGGCACGAGAAGCCTCTGTAAGATGATGTTAGCATTCAATTTCGATTTCCCGCATCTCCTGCAAAAACCAAGCCAATTGACGGGAGTAAAGACATACTGAGCAAAGGCTTGTCGGTACGACCACCACCAGCAACGATACCGACCATACCACGAGAGGTGCTCTTCACAACCTTCTTAGCACCGCTAGGAAGCTTGATTCTGGTCTTGCCATCCTCAGGGTTGTGGCCAATGACGGTAACGTAGTTACCAGAGGTACGACCAAGAGCACCACGGTCACCAGACTTCTCCTCGACGTTGGTGACGACGGTACCCTCAGGAACGGAGGCAAGAGGGAGGACGTTGCCGACAGTCAGGGCGGCGTTCTTTCCGGCGTAGATGAACTGGCCAGTGTACATGCCCTCGTTGGCGATGAAGGTCTCGGTAACGTGCTTGAACTTGTAAGGGTGACGGAACTGGACCTTAGCGAGAGGAGCACCACGGCCGGGGTCGTGGATGATCTCCTTCACAACACCCCGGGTGTATCCATGGCGCTCAGCAAAGTCAAGGACACGGAACTGAGCAGGGGTCTTGTTGAGACGGGTGTTGGCCGCTGGAGGCGAAATTGTTATCAGCAACTTTGATCTTGAGGTTTTCGCTCAGAACTCTGCGGTCGCACTCACTGAAAATGGATCCACGACCCTTCCTCTGGTTGCGGATCACGCGACCCATGGCGACTTTCTAGATAGAGACCTGGAGGTTAGTATACAAGAAGAAAGACCCCTGCGACCCGGTGGTGGGAGTTTATCAAGTGCTCGTACCTCAAATCGAAGATGGGCTTGTCGGGTTGGTGGTGAGAATTCGTCGGCGGAAGGGCTGTGTGGGCTTTAGGGCGCGGTCGCTAATCTAGCCGAGCTTGGACTAGCGTCGCCGTGCGCCTCTCTCGCGCGGCTGTGGGTTTGGCGGCGCGGCTAACCGTGACAGTAACCATGGACTTTCAAGAACAACCGAGTACCCTCACGGAGTAACAGTTCATGCGACCACCTTAGTGCTTGACTTGTTTGATAAGCACAACTGGTACACAATCCATTATTCAGTCGAAGGCTAGACGTCCAATTCCCTAACTTGATCTTGTTTGACTACTCTGTCAGCTGTACTTGGTGACTACTAGGCGTGTTGCAACCCACGACCTCCGCCAATCACATACTTCTACGAGTATCTCGCAGTGAAACAGTCTTTAGATGATGGTTCCATCTGCGATGGCTCAGGATTCCTGCTATCGATTGACTTTGTTGGGTAGTATCGCTGTCTGACTGCATTAATGGTCTTCAAATTTCATTGCTCTATGCATGACTAAATGATGACCAAATCGAGATTGTTTGACAAAAGCATTATGCCCCTCAACAGCCTTTGAGAGGTTAGGAAAGAATACTATTCCCGAATGTGGAACACCACGCAGTCTGGGGTCACAGCTACCACAATGCGGAAACTTGTCTGATGATGCCCGAAGCACTGCAGCAGCGGTTAAATCAATCCTCCACTGGTATCCGCTGCAGAAGAAGAAAAACCATTGAACGAGTGGATCGATACATCTGCTGTGTCACTCATGGTGATAGCTTTGGTCCTTTCTCGGCATATCAAATGGCGCCGTGCTCATTGTCTAGCCTTCTGTAAACTAACGTTAGATGATAAGTTCCCAATGGGATCGCTCATTGTTGGCGCTCTTTCAGAAGCTGATTTGTCATTTGGTCCTCCATAGTTTTCTGCGAAATGACTCTACGCTGGCTCATACAGCGTCTCAGGTCCTCATTATGAGGTCATCAATGCTCAATCTCCTGTTCAGTACTCTAGATGTAGGCCAGAATAAAATTGAATGTTAGAGAATACATTGCTGTGATCGGGTTGTGAGTATACCTTGATACCGGCGGCCATCGATGACGCCAGAACCGGCCAGGCGCGTAAAAGCCGCGCTCCATTAATCGGCAGCAGTAGTGCAGTAGAACTTCTTGCGGCGCGCACTCGCCCACCCCCGTTCCATTTCAACACAACCACTTCAAACTTCAGCAAACATGTCTAACATGTCACTTTCTGACTCGGATATCTCGTCACTATCATCAGCGCCACCATCGGATGATGAGTCTGCCCCCGTGGCAGTTAATGAGCCTGTGGGCATCACCAAGTACTTCAAGAAGGAATCAGAATCTCCGCCGCCGAAACGGGCACCTTCACCACCACATGAATACGTTTTAGCAGATAGTCCGGACATTGCAGTGAGTTATCCATCAATTGACGATTTTTTAAGACTCTGCACGTTTATTTGACGCGTCTATGGACCGGTGAACATGTTTGCTGACTCGTCGCAACCAAAAGTTCATTGTAATGTTCCGCGCGCGTTTTCACGATGTCTTCCCGCGATCAGCACCACATTACGGACCACAAGACATTGAGAGAGGTGTTGCGGAATCGCCTCCCGGGGAGCATATTGAGAGGTTGCTATGTGCATTGCTTGGCCTGGTGTTGAACAGGAAGAAGGACGTGGAGTATGGATACCACCTATCACTTAGTTCCTACTATACTATGAAGGGCGCAGTGAGCTCCTATTATCTACAATCAGGATGTTCAAGGATTATGATAAAAGACTGACTATCCATCAAAATGCGCAGTCGACTTCATTACACACGCCCTCTGGAAGAAGCGATCCAAACCCATGTATCCCAGTGGCCCAAGGCTTGGCAGGGAAAGAACCCTCTTCATGGGGGTCGCACTTTCACAGGAATGGCCCCAGAAGAACGTGTACGTTCTGTGACCACAAATTAAATGAGATACAGTGGATAGCTAATACGCTTTAGTTACAATTACTGAAATCGCTGATCCTCTGGTCCCTTTCCTCCTCCGAAGCGGTTCAGGCAAAGATCAAAGAGTCGTACAAGCAAGCACGACATGAAGACGATTTGAACCAACCACTTTCCGTTCAACCATGGGGTCGCGATGGCTTGAAGCGTCGATATTGGCTCATCGAAGGCTTAGATGACACACACTTTAGGTTGTATCGTGAGAGCAACCCGGCGCTAAAGAATGTCACATGGTGGAGTGTGGCAGGAACAATTCCCGAGTTGAAGGCCGTTGCAGATAAACTCGACGAGGAGAAGAGCACGTATTCGAAGAAGCTTAGTGAGAAGATTAAGAATTCAGTTCCTCGCTTCGAGGGCTCAGAAGAGGTAAGTTATGATCCTCCGCTGTCGTCTTACTCTTGCTCATTAGTTGTAAGAAACGTAAACGCAGAGACTACCGCATTGCGCGCAAAGCACAATTTTCTAGGCCTGAGCCTGGATTTTCCCTTTATGAAGGCCGTACCCGTGGGAAAAAATTGAAGTACACATACTCCGACGATGAGGATATCTTCTCCGATGGCCTGCCTTCGACCCGACGATCCACACGCAACACCTCAGGCATTTCTTCACCCGCAGAACCTGTGGGTCCTAGGTTTACCGCTAGCGGACGGCAGATACGTTCGCGCGCAGGAGGAATGTATGGGGAAAGCTTGCTCAGTGGCCAGCGTGATGAGCTAGCTGGCGCAGAAGACACTGGGCGGCCTCAGAGGACAAGGCCTATACGAGCAAATGGATATACTGGCTACAACTTGGATAATGAAATGGATGAATCTGATGAGGGACACTCCAGCGGAAAGGAGTGGCAGGGTGGAGAGGAGGAAGAAGATAACGATTTCGAAGGCGACGACGAAGAAGAAGAGTTGAGTGGTGACGAGTCGATAGTGAACGGAGAAAACCCAAGCCTGGTAGTGCAGCTCAGATACGGTAAGGGGAAGGTGCCGAGCAGCCCTAATGGTCCTAGTGACACTTTAGCAGGGGAGAACGTGGGGGGCAAAGTGGAAATAGCGACTGAACCTGCGCCTCCGGAATTTATACCATCCTCAGACGCAGCGAAGCCAACCGGTTCTACACCAGGGGATGATGGATCTCAGGGGCAAAAGACTGAGCTCCGAAATGAGCCAAACGGCAAGCCTGAGGGAGGTGCTGAAGCCGTCCGCGTCGCTATGAGCACCGGGTCACATCCCTATCAGCCGGCGCCTGCTCCTGGTTCAAACGAGGGGGTTCAAAGCATTTGAAGCTACATACTCCTGGGCGTTGAATGAGTGGCTATATTGATAGAGTTCATGCTGGAGCGTGTCTTTTCACTTAGGTTCTGTTGTACACGCGGGCAAGTCAATGGGGTCTCCTAAGGCGTTTATGTGGTGGTAAATTGTCTGGTTAGTATCAGAGGAAATGTCTGTGTTAGCCTGCAAGTAGGTCGTGGTTATGAGTTTCACGACTCCTCGATAGCAGGCTGGCCTTTATATGAATGTCCTACGATGGCGTCTTTACTAAGAGAAGAGCTCCATTGAAATGTCTACAAGAGTTTAGCCAACTGCGCATAAATGTGCACCCGTGGGCTTAAAACATGAGGTACAGAAAGACCATCGAAGTGGCTATATTCGTAACGCCGTAACCCGAACTCCCAAAATGCAACCAAAATACCAGAAAAATCGCAGTTTGTTCAAACCAATTAGTCGGCACCGGCATTAGAGAACTGGGTCTTATAAAACTGTAAAAACTCCGAGAATGTCAGCCCCGATCAGAATAGCTACGTTACCCGAGCTAAATATAGCTACAGTATCAAATAACATGAACAGGGCAGGGAGTCACTCACGTCTTCCGCCTGTGCAGCAAGCTTACGGTCCCTCGTTGATGGGAGGGGAGGGAGTTTCCAGTTATTTACTTCGTACCACCATCGTCGAATTTTGCTGCCCAATGTTTGACCACTGAGAGACGCGTTGCGGTTCCAGAATCGCCAACCGGAGAGAGCGAGGGTCCAGAGGGTACCTTGGATTAGAGGGAGAAGAACCTAAAAAAAAAAGAACAGAGGTGCGTGAGCCTTGAGTGTGTTCCTTGATATCCTTTCTTCTTCTGCTTCTTCCTTTTCTTTTCTTTCTTTCTTTCTTTCTTTTTTTTTTTTTCAGGATAGTAGGTCTGGGGGCAGCCTCATACCTGATCTCGGACGGTGATCCATGCAACACGACCCCAAGTCTCAGCACCCCGTATGCTGGCCAGATAACTTTGTTCGAAGCGCAAATCAGGCATTGGAGGAAGATGATGCCGTCTTGGAGCGGGTCTGATCATTCGATGGGGGTCCACGATGTCGGATGGGATGCTGCCAGCCTCGGACGGCGCATCTTCAGCGACAGGCTTCTTCTCCGAAGTTGCGGTCGGAGGATTGATGTCATGGCTTGGGGATGGCTCTGGATTGATGGAGGCCGCTTGAATGGTCTCAGCAATTCCTAAGGCTGGGTCAGTCATTGTGGAAGGTGAATATTGTACGTTATGCAATGATAACAGGAAAAGAGGTGTTTGTATGGAGAGTTGTAGGCGGACATCGGAGGACTTCTCCCCTGATGCGATGCAATACGCTCCGTACAGTACGGTACGGCATATGATCCGGATCTTCTTTCTGTTGCTGCCCCTCCGGACCATCATCCCTCCCCCACCTTTTCTTGCATTCTCACCCTCACCCTCACCTTCTCCTCTTCTTCCTCCTCTCAGAGATTTTCTTTTTTCTTGACATTTCTCCTTCCTCTCCACACGTTCCTCCCACTAGTCCTTTCTTTACAGGCACTTTCTCTTATTAAAATAAATGACAATGGCTGCCGCTCAAGGATACCCTTTTCTTTGCTTGGAGAACCCTCTCCTCGGTACGTGAGGACTATTATCCTGCCTGGCTTGATAGATATCCGTAAAATTTGTGATTATGGGGCAATGCTAATGCAGGTCCTTTTCCGGTTATAATTTCCAGATATCCAAGCTGTTGGGTATGTTACAGATCTTGACCAGTCAAAATACTTTTGAAATATAGTACGTGTGCTGATACAGTTCTATAGTGATGCTGCTCTTCTCCAGAAGTATGGTCTGAAGGACAATGATGCTATCCTCGCTGAGGAGAAGCATATGGGGCTCTACGAGGAGCTTCTGCAGAACCATGATGCAAAGTTGATTGCGGGTGGTGCCGCCCAGAACACTGCCCGTGGCGCTCAGGTATGGGCTGAAATATACTTAAATTCTTTTTCTTATTACCCGTATGTTAACTATAATGCCACCCGTTAGTACATTCTCCCCGACAACTCTGTTCTCTACATCGGATGTGTTGGCCGTGATAAGTATGCCGATATTCTAACGGAAACCTGCACCAAAGCTGGTGTGCACACCGAGTACCGTGTGGACGATGTCCAGCCTACCGGCAAGTGCGGTGTGATCATTACTGGCCACAACCGTAGCATGTGCACCCACCTTGCTGCGGCCAATGAGTACAAGCTTGAGCACCTTCAGCAGCCTCAAATCTGGTCTCTTGTTGAGAAGGCTCAGGTGTACTATGTTGGTGGCTACCACCTTACCGTGTGTGTGCCCGCTATCCAAGCTCTTGGTGAAGAGGCTGCTGCAAAGAACAAGGTATGTATCTGTGACGACTTACTGAATTCAGCCTATACGGATGTTCCTTCTCAATGGACTAGTACTAAATGTGCACTCTTGCAGATCTTCATGCTCTCTCTTTCGGCCCCTTTCATCCCTGAGTTCTTCAAGGACCAGCTCGACAGTGTGCTACCATACACCGACTACACCTTCTGCAATGAGACCGAGGCTCGTGCTTATTCCAAGAGCCACCAATGGGGTACGGATGACGTCTCTGAGATCGCCAAGAAATTGGCTCAGCTGCCCAAGAAGAACACCAGCCGCCCAAGGGTCGCCATTGTGACTCAGGGCACTCTTCCCACCGTAGCTGCTACCGTTAAGCCCAACGGCGAAGTTGAGGTTAAGGAGTTCAGCGTTGTTGAGATCCCTAAGGACAGCATCAACGACACCAACGGTGCCGGGTAAGTAGACTTTTTTTCAAGTGAAAACATAAGTATGACTAACGTGTCTTATAGCGATGCCTTCGCTGGTGGTTTCTGTGCTGGTGTCGTGCAAGGCAAGTCTCTTGAAGAGAGCATGGACATGGGCCAGTGGCTCGCCAGCCTTAGCATCCAAGAGTTGGGACCTTCGTAAGTAACTCACTTTTTCGTCCTCTCTGAGCCAATGCTTTTAAAAACACCAACACTGGCGGAGGTCATTTCCTGGCTAGTATAACTGGCGGATTGAACGTAATTGTGAGAGAATGACTGACTGACATAATGATTTAGTTTCCCCTTCCCCAAGAAGGCTTACACTCCCACCAACCGGTCGTAAACTACTCACCTTTTTACCTACATCACCTACACAGCGCCGTAAGGATAGCATGTGGTGACAAAGAAAGAACTCTTTTTCTTTAGGATTCAACCTTCTAATACCCCACCTGTCTTTGACTTAACGTCTTCGACTTCTTTCCATCAACATCTTCTTGAGTGTTGCACTCCCATTGCCTGATGATTTATGTGATAGACAGGAGTTGCAGAGATGACGTTCTCAACAACGAATTTAATGGTCCGCACATTCGGTTCGATATACATATAAATAAATCTATTACCATCTTCAGCGATGTATGCTTGAATTCAGCTCGCTAGACTTGACACCCAGCTCTTGGGATTTAGTTTCTAAATGAGTAGTCTCATTGATATAGCTCTCTGACAGCTAAAAGAAAGAGATAATCCAAATAAATCTGGGAAACTGATAATTTGGCTCGTAATCCTTATCCCAACTCTTCGCCCCTATTACCTGAAGGCGAGCCCACGAACGCATGATTCCGCAATGTATGGTCTCCTTTTCGACTTCATGAATAAGTTGTAGAACGCTTATTGAATACAGCCTTTCACCAATATTTCACCAGTGAACATGACCGTATCTTTAATACCAGCGGTCTAACGGCAGCACGGCCAATGAGCCCACGTGGGAAATTTGACAGTGCACAAGCCTGCTTATGAAAAGCGGGCTTTGAATGCTAAGAACTGGACTAACAGATGGGAGCGAAGGGAGATGCTGCATAATCTCACACTGCACTTCCGACGCTCACAAATCGGAGCCCAGGTAACCAAAGCTTGCACCCACGTTTCCTGCGTGTATGCTTCTATCTCAAAGAACTCTTGGAGAGATGTTCCCCATACTTAGATCATCAAGAAATCGGTGTCACCCTCCATGTCCGCAGGGAGGTGTTTGACCAATAGCACCGTACTGGGTAGCAGATTTGCGACTGCCGCCGAACCCAGAGCTGGGGTAACCTGCGCCTGAGGAGAGCGTGTTGGCGAGGAACGCATCGTTTGCCCACGAGGCATTGGCCAAGCCACTTGAGATCGGCAGGCTGGGCGCACCGAGGGGTGGCGGAGAGCTTGCGGCATCTAGTGGTCCTCTGCTGTCCCACCCCAAGCCTGAAAGACGGTGGTGCGATGTGGGGTTTGACGAGGGTATCCACGAGGATATAGAGCTGGATCCATTTAAGGGGTTTTGCAGCTGAGATTGGTGCATTAGACTCTGACGAAGCATGAGATCGTTCACAGCCGAGTCCTGAGATAGGTGATGGCTTGGGCTACCGATGCTTCCTGGCATTAAATGACCGGAATGTTGCATAGATTGTTGCCCAAGGCCTGGTGGAGTCCTGGGAGAAGTTGCATCACCAACTTCTGGTGAGAGGCCCATGTTCCATATACTAGGGATACCAGGGAGGGAGGGTCGCGGCGCGTATGACTGTGATGACGGAACCCTGGCTAGGGCAGCAGCGTTTGCCATTGAGTGGCCAAGCCCAGGTGGAGCGATGGGAGTGTGACGAGCAGGAATGCTCTCTTCCCGAAATATCGAGTCCGTACTAGGATTGAAGATATGGCTGGAGCCGGGTTGCTGGTTGTTTCGTGGAAAGACGAGATGCTCCGGCAACGCCGGGGTGTTTTCATAGCAGTCCGACTCAACCAAGCGCTCCACACCCTCAACAATGCGGTGCATACTGGCCGACATTGACGCTGATTGAGAGCCCCCAAAAACACTTCTGGAATCAGTAGCGTAACTTGGATCTTGTGTTGTTTGTTGAATGTCCTCCCGTTCAATGCTCGCCGAGGAAATGGTATGGTGATGTCCCGAGGGACTGGCAAAGAACTGAGATGGAAGCCCTTCCTCCTTGTAAATGAATGTTTTTTTGTCACCGTCGTCGACTAGAGCTATGGGGATTTTCTGAAGGTAGAGCGTATTAGCAGTTGATTTTAATAAACAGAGGGAGAAGATTGCTGCATACATTGCTGACAACCAAGTCCAACCCATCAATTACGAATTCGCGGATTCGGTAAAGCATCTCCATGTTCGGGTGATTCCTTTCCACTCCTAGATCGTTCATCCGAGGCTTTTGGCGGCCACTTGTATCCAAATATCTACGTGATGTGGCCTCTTTATTTAGCGGCACAAAACACAGAGTCTCTTCATCTTCTTCCAAAAGGTAGTCTATCTCCGGAAGGAGGACTACATCGAATGTGGATGCGAGAAGAGTAAGTGTGTTGGCGTAGATTTTCCAGAACTCAATTATTTGGACAGAAAGCGGGGTGTCTTTCTCCTCTTTATGAGCTACTAGAAGATGGCTGACTGTGAGTAGCCAAGAGCTGTAGTTTCGGAGAGCAGGCAAAACACGTCGTGCAACAGCGGTGATCTTATCAGGGCCATTCTTTCCATCTGTATTGTTTGTTTCTTCGACTGCGAACCGCTCCACTTCAGCTAAAAGGATCTGAAGTAATGTAAAGAATGTCTTCACATTGATACGCCGGAAAAAGAGGCGTGCATTTGACACGGACTCTTCTGAAGTATATGTCAAAAGTGGCTCTTGCAATAGTCATACTTGGAGACTTACCATTGGAGCGCGTTCTAGAAAAATCTTCTGCAGAGATATTGACTAGACAGAACTTCTGTAAGGTGCCCTCTAGGGAACGCTCCTTCAAATCAACAGCAAGTTGATTCAGTACTTCATTTTCAAGCTCATCATGCTCGGGAAAATCTGTGCCTTTGTAACATTGAGCATGCAGATATACAAACCAAGGAGCCAACGCCCTGCCAGGAATACCGGCATCCTCGGGGCGAATCAGCTCTCTTTTAGCCCACAGATTCCTAACTTTCTTAAACTCAATTTCTAGGTTGCCCTTGGCAGATGGATGAGGTTCCTGGGCGGCTAGTGCCCTATAGAGGTGATAAGTGGCCCGCAAGTGGTTACCGTCGGCGAGGGCAATGACAGCCAATTGATTGTGCGAGGCACCAGAGGCTGGATATATTACTGTGGCAAGGTCATAATAACCTATGGCCGGACCCCAATTGCGGTCCTTGCCAACCAGTTCGGTTTCGCGGTAGCGTGAGAGATCGCCGAGACGGATAAGGGTCGCATGACATGACTGCAGAATACGTTTTCGAAGGTCCCCAACCGGTTGTACCGTAGAATCCTCCGCAGATAAATCTAACACAAAGGTTTGGCTGAGTAAGGAGGTTTACGAGGGAGAGGACGGCATTGCTCACTGTCAAAGTTGAATTTCCGCGCAACGTTTTCAAGCTCCGGAATTCCCCCGAAATGCGACGACAATTGCTGGATGTATCCTCTATAGAACCGCTGACTTGCTTTGATGAATTCGAGATAATGTTTCTCAAGCTTTCGTCGCTCTACTGGTTTCTTCTTCTTTCCGTTTTGCTCGCGGAACTAGGTTGCGTGTGCGGGAGGTTAGATGAGTCTCATCGATAGAGATTCCCAAAGCCGGAATACTCACGCGAGAGAGTAGTTTACGAAACCGATTGTTGATTTTGAGATGTGCATCCCAAAGGCGACTTTCCACGTCGATGGAGCGAGCGGCATCGAAGTCCTGAAGGATGGCATTCTGGCAAGCTGCGCGGAGTCTGCGATAACGGAGAGTGTCAGAACAATGCGCACGAGAGACGAATTATCTAGTAACTAGATGGATATAAACTGACTCAGAGAGGTAATGCGAAATTTCAGCAAACGTAGGCTCTTTCTCGGCAAGGCTCTTCAGAAGCTCTCCCTCGATGTCGAGCGCAATCCTGTACATTGCGGTTCAGAAAGTCGGGTTCATTTCTTTTCTGAAGAATATATGAGTATACTGACTGCCACGTATTCTGAAACGCGGACGCCATGCTCAGGATGGGTGAAACAAAGCTCGTTGTCACTCCACCGTCGACTTCGCCCGTCAGATGGCTATGGCTGGCTGGAAGTCTGCGGGCGACGAGAGCAGTGAACGATCCATCAGTAGTATATACGGAACGGGTGGGTTGGCGCTGGTCGGAAGCAAGGTCGAGAGTGACTGCACCGAGATGGGGGCGTCGAATGAGAATAGAACGAAGATAGGCTCCCACGCGCAGGAACGAGTAACGAGGGGTTCAAGCCGCTCGTTGCAAAGAAAATCCCAATATCACGGGAACTTCTGGACGGCGACCGAAAAAGACGGGCGTTGAATCGGATGAGATGTGGCTTTGTGGAGCGGTGATTGGCTTGCCCGCCTGTGGCTGGTGTGCGCCCAGGAACGATTACAGTACAATACAGGACAGGACAGGACGTAATGGTTCATTCATTACCGACACTGGTTCGATGAGAGATTTCAATGATATCAAGATCCTCTTCCTTCTTGTGGGTTGGTTCAAGAAATCACCCGAGCCTTGATTTAAACCCATAATAATTCCAATACCAACTTCGACGGAGATTTTTCGCAGAGTCAGCGAGAACACCTCATACATAGGTACCCAATGAACCTTGCAGGAGACGCTTGCATAACATCCACCCAACCAGACGAGTGAACTATAAGAGCAATAGACAGCCAGGATGTCCAAGCGCTCCCGGAGCATCTCTAGATCCTCCTCCGTTGGCCAACTTCCAGAGACCGGTTCAAAGCCCTCATCGCCATCATTTTCCATCACTTCTGTTGAACAATCCAAAAAGCATATATCTGACAGCGTCAATTCTGGGACAGAAGTAATGCATTGCTCACTGCCGCCGCATCGGGAGACGCTCTCGTTCCCCTCATATGATGATTACGAAGTTCATTATAAACAAATGCATGTTAACAGATGCACAGCGTGTGGAAAGAACTTCCCCACTGACCGGTTCTTGAATCTACATATCGAGGAGAACCATGATCCTCTGATTGCCGCGAAAAGGGACCGGGGAGAAAAGACTGTATGTTTCCATGATATTGAGCAGTTCGTTTTATAACCCAAAGCTGCGGCTCACAATGCTCGATCGGACATAGTATGGGTGTTTTATTGAAGATTGCGAGCGGAAATGCTCCACGCCCCAGAAACGCAGGATGCACTTGATAGATAAACATATGTTTCCTAAGGTAAATTGCTCCGGGGAGACCAAGTCGGTGCATAGTATCTGACATACCTGAGCCACAGACCTACAATTTTTATATAGTGAACGATGGTATAGATAAGCAGACATCTATGCTACGGCTAGTGAACTCGCATAGGCGTCGAATTTCGGCAAGTCCAACTTCCCCGCAGGAAGGTCGGCTTAGACACCGACAAAGCTCTCTATCTCACACTAAACCGGTTCCTGGACAGGACATAGCCCCTCAGCCACAAACGGGTGATTTGGAAATAGCCCAACTCGAGAGGTCTATGTCTTCTTTGCGATTTGTCCCAGCGAGCGTTACAAGGGGCCATGGTAGACGATTTACCTGACCAGAGAGGATCATATAACGAAGCAACGAATTACTGATGGTCACAATATACGTGCCGAGACCAGTGAGTATATATAGCAAGGTTATTAAATTCAAATCAAAAGACCTTCCGCGGGCGATACACCATTATTGATAGAGACAAGCCTATAAGGCCCAAGGGCAGGCAAAAACAAGCAAGGGACAACATAAAGCGTGCAATCATCACTTTCTCAAGGGCGACGGAGGGCAAAAATAGGAGAAAGGCGAGAGCAAGGAAATATTTCATAGGTGTCAAAGGCGTAATAATCATATCGCAACATTTTCAGCCTCCTTAACGAGAGAGCTTACATTTATATACATGATTAAGAGGTGAAGAGAATATGTGATGAGGGGTATATAATAACATCACATATCACCCAAAGTATCACAAGAGTCAAGCTGCCATATCACACTGCCGACTCGGGCAGCACCAACTACTTTATTGCTGACCAGGTTAGCAACACGAGAAGGTATAACTGGCGAAGACCTGCTGCATTGTGCTGGCCAGTGTTCATCCATAGACATCACCAGCCGATGGGCAAATAGAGCAGGGAAACATGCGTTTTGCAGCTACCAGGGCATGTGCTGTAGCGGATAAGCTACCAATGTCCTGCAAAGTGCTTTACTCCAACACAAACTTCCCACGAGGTTAGCGCGTGTATAAAACCAGGGAAGATCATCATAGCTGCGTTTCCAGAAGATCTGCATAAGCTTCCAAGCTCGACCCGACCAGGTCCACTATCGCCCAACTTGTATTCCCTTTGAATGTCCTCGCCCATACTCGTACAATAGCAATACTGAGTTGCTTTGCCTTGTAGGGATTGGCCAGAAATTCTACATCGGGTGCGCCTGGCGGATCAACGGCCATGTCAGTCTCATCCATCATACTTTTAATCCATAAGAGCAACTTTCGCTCATGCTCTGACAGTCTTTGTTCAGCCTGCGTCACCGGTATGGAAAGTAACCACCGACTTAAAAGAAATGCACATTCCAGGCTACAAAGGGAGTGCTGAATACTCCAGAAAAATGAATGGGTTCGCGCCACGAAGTCTATCCCGAGGCGGACAGGGATGGAAAGTGCGTGCGCAGAATGCAGTAAAGCCATGATGAGGCGCGGGCTCCGTGCTACAGGTGGAGATTCACCGAGAGCCCTGGCGATCTGGATCGGGTCCTGGGTAATGAGGCGGCGACAGGGACCTAAATCAACATGTAACCTAATATAGGCGAGCCCAAGAAGGGCAGTCGACGTGAATGCTATTGGGCCTGCCGGGTTTTGAGGGTCAATGCTCGATTCTGGCGTGCGCTTCCACAATGCTTTCCAAGCACTCAGAGAATTGTCCAAGGTGGACAAATCTTCCTGCCTCAGGCTGGTGCCTTGCATCATCGGTGCAGACAAACAAAGCTGGCGGGCAAAGAAAATTTGTTGAATAAGGGCATGTATGAGAATATAATTCCCAAGCGGTGATATGGGCGTCGACGAATTTGATAGATTGGACTTGACGAATAGCTTAGCGAAGGCTTCCTGGAATGAAACTTCCGGTCCATGCCGTGAACGCATGACCCGCCGCCACTGGGTTGCGTTGTTGGCTTTCCAAACGTCGTGTGAGCATGGCATGTTTAGTTTCAGCTCTGCGTTCAGAATCAACGGGGGTATGTTGTACATGATAGAATGTAAATTAAAGAAGCAGTATACGATGAACTTTGTCCGCCTATTACCTTCTCTTCGTACCCAGTCTTCCCAGTTGTTGGGATCAGTAGGGGGTGGCTCAGTAAGTCCATGCTCTCTGACAAGTCGAGCCAACGTGCTCTGAAGAGAAAGAATTTCCCGCAATAGTTCAGGATGTTTCTCCCAAGAAGCAAACACTGTGAGCAGTAGGAAGGTCCTGATTACTTCCATGTGAGCGTCCGAATCTTGGGGTGCGTAGCCCGAGGGCGACTCGACCGGATGCGGGATATGATGTTGCTGAAACGGGCTATTGGCATTGTTGGAAGGGGTAGAGGAGCCCCTCGAATCGTGAAAACCGGATGGTGGAGAGACAAAATTCCACGAAGGGCATTGTACTTGCTTGCTATCCCTTCTCTGTAGGCGCTGCAGAAGAATGGCTTTCGAGGCATGAAAAAGCTCGATCCCTCGATTGTTTTCAAACCGGTAATGAGATCCTGCGGCTGCTAAAGCGAGGGTGAGCTCAGGGGAGCATTTTGCGACCGACAGTGTCGGTACATGAAGGAATGGGAGGTGTTCGTTTAGTCCGTTAATGTAGCCAGCGAAGAAGCGCGACAGAGCATGTCTTGATGGTGGGATAAAGCCCTTGGGGAGAATATAAGCAAATTCCTCGAGTTTTGAGAGAAAGACTTGACGATCTGTATTCGAAATATCCCAAGCTGGACGTGGGCCTTCGTCACCAAACACAAGACGATCATCAACGTCTTGCGGCTCTGGCTGTAGAGATGGTAGCCGAGATCCAAAATTAGAAAAAGACGGTGGCTCGTCAGCTGGGCCACGCGGGTCACTCATCATCTCTGCCCCAAGTCTCGCACTTTCGCGAATAGGTGGCTTTGAGTCAATTGGGATATTTGCCGTCAACATAGGCTCTTCCACCGATGAGAATACGCCAGAGTCCCAATCAGAGGAAAGACCAACGCTTTCCAAGAAGACGGTAAAGTCTTGGACGGGGTCACCTAGGTCTGTGAGATCCAGGAAAGAAGGTTCAACACCATAATTGTCTGTGATCGCTCTCTCCGGAACCTGAGATAACGGCTGGGGAGGGCCTACGTTCTGTGAGGGTTTACGCATCGACTCGAGGCTTTCCTGCTGGCCCTCAAGAGCCACATGACTAGCAGCATGAGAGAGCAAGTTTAGATCGTACCCCCAGGATGGATTGAAATGAGTTGTTTCGACTATTGGAGGAGCTTGGACCTGCACCTCTGGTGGGGGCTGCGGAACTGGTTGTGTTTGCACGGGAACGGCATCTGCAAGCTCTAGCATGCGCGACTCTTGGTGGGTCGGTTGTATAATGGATGACGGGGTCTGAGGGACATCATGATTGCTATTGTTTCGATGTTCGCGATTGGCTGCTGCCTCCGCTGGATGAACTAGTCGCTCATGTCGTACGAGCAGATCGCTACAGACAAGTAAAGCCCCTGATTAGCGTGGAATAGTCGTGTTCGAAGAGCAAAGTGTGTTCACCTTCTTGCAAAAGATTTGGAGCATATGTCACATGAAAAGGGCTTTTCTTTTGTATCTGTAGGTAAACAATCAATACAGTGTACATCGCAGAGGCAGATGCCAATTTGGGACGTCTTCAGGGTTACTCAACGTGTGCGGAGATGGCGTTGGAGATGCTCCAGACGCGCAAAAGACCTGCTGCAATATTCGCAAGATAGGGACTTCCGGTTGGCGGGAGTAGACTTCTTTCTCACTTTCCCAGGGGAAGTTCTCTCGTCCTCCATAGCGAATTGCCTTGGAATTGGAGCATTTGTCCTTTGATGGATAACCTGCGAGCGGGGAAGAAAAACTGTGGGGTTGTCATGAGGGGGTTTTGCGAGGGGGGTCACGTGGCTGCCGCGGACGTTGGACTCCTGTTGTCTGATCATCAAAGCCCTAAAGTCACCATTACCTTTTAAGTTGTCTTGACAGTCACTAGGTCAGGAGTCAGTGAAGTTTCCCGTGGAGACTGGGATACATCACCAAATTGAGCTATAGATTCCGTGTGGTGGCTTACAGAAGAATGAAGCCTTTGAATTATTTCGAGGACTGATTGAGGAGAGAGGAATAATACAATCGTGGTGGTCGGTAGGTCTCTTGGGTAAGGATCGGAATACTAATGGACGCAGATACACTCCGCCCTCCCCACTGGTGCGGAGATATTTGCTTTTGATACAACCTTAGCATCATACACACGCTACGTCTCCTCACTAATGACCAGAGTTACTCCTGCCTATCTAAAGGAAAGAGGGGGTTTACTGGATTTAGTTACCGGAACTTGTTCGACATATACATTTACCGTGTTGGCAAGATTAAATTAGTGTAACATAATGCTCTCCAACAATGGCTATAATTTGATTCTAGTAGTTATAATAACGTAAAGGGAGGGAGAAAAAGAAATATTCTTTCAAGAGTAATTGTACGGTGTACTTATATAGTTAGATTTAGAAACTACAACAGTAATGTTCAAGGAAAAGAAAGTAAGAAAAAATGAAAAAATGAAAAAAAAAGGAGGGGAAGAAAAGGGAAGAAAAAAGTAAAAAGAGAGGAAAACCTCATGCTTCAAAGCCTGAATAAATGTTGCACCACACTAGTAGACAGATGATTGATCCATACTAGGTACCTATTTTCTTATCATATAATCCAACTATCTGTTGATGTGCATAAGTTCGGCAAGCTGTCCTTTTAAATAAATATCTGGGTCCTTCCTAATTTCTTAGCACATTTACGCGAGCGAGGGCATAGTTTGGTTGGTAAAGCACTGTATGGACTATTGGGTCAGTTGATAGGCTAGTGATAGATGATGCTTTCTCGGAGGCTGCTTCCTTGGCTTGGATTCTCTGAATCAATCTTCTAATCTGTGGCATTGGATTGGTTATAGCTATCACATTTCTTTAACCGGACGAAGGTGCCTGGATATCTATCTCAAGGGTATCCCAGATTATATTAGTTTGATATACTGCTTCCAGCATGAGCTTTTTGTTGGTCATTTCTGGGGCAACGTGATGGTCGCATGGTCGTCATGGCGGCTTATTGTACCTCTGGTGCTAACTATACTTAGACTCACAGGCTTCGTCATCTATGAGGGTAACATACCACCGGACCCCATTCTTCGACTCACCAATTTTGCGCAGCGCACAGCATCAGCTATTTACCTGGGAACGTTTATTCACGGTGTTTTACTATGGTGCCTCTTCCACTATCTTCCACTTTACTATGAGTCTGTTCAAAGTTATAGTGTTATCATTTTAAGAGTCGCAATTTTCCGGGAGATATTCGCTGTTACCCCTGCGTAAATTGTGGTAGCCGTACTTGTTAGCAAGCGGGTCGCGCTATCGATGGGCAAATTGAGGAGCTTAGTTCTTGAGTATGCTTGGAATGGACTTACTCTATCTGCTTAGTCCTCGCACAATGGTTCCTGAATGGTTATTCCTAAATCTGGCATCGGGTTCAGCCTGGGAATTTTCTACAGTAGGCTTACTTACGGGACACAAGCCGTGGCAGAGGAGAAGGACATCACGTATGCAGCCTTCATATACAGCTTCTGGCGCTCTTTTGGATAGAGCATAGGCGTCGTTATTGGAGGTACGACCTTCGAGACACAGTTTACCATCAAGTCGACGGCCTACTCAGCACTTGCGCACCAAGCCTCTAGCCTTGCACAAGAAGCAAGTGTGCTTGTTCAGATTGTTAGATATATGGATCGACATTAGGGAAGCGTGTCATTATTATCGAGGTGTACGCACACAGTCTTGATATTGTTTGCGCGGTTATGACAAGGCTGGTCTTTATTGGGGCTCGTGACAGGCCTTTTGGCAAAAGGACTGGATCCCAATAAGCAAAAATCAAGCAATTGCTTCATGAGGAACGCTATCCGTGCCCATATTCTCCAGTGGTTTAAATTGCGTTTGGACAGACAGAGTATCATTGTTTCTTAACAAGAGAAAGCAGGAAAAAGTCCTCACGTCCTAACCTCATGCAACTCTAGGGCTAACTCAATTTTCTTTCTTTCTTTCTTTCTTTCTTTTTTTTTTTTTTTTTGGAATTATCTCATTGTTGTACTTTTTAAAGTTGACTTTCACGAAAGCAGCGAGCATCTGATGCTATCATTGTACTAAGATGTATAGAATACTATCTAGCAACTGAGATAGGTAAGTTGTCAAATAACACAATATACAGGGTGAAGGTCCTTGAATGGACATTACCTCTTATCAAGTGACAAGTGATTACATATCCTGAAATATATCGCTTAATTGAAGCCCAGAAATTTGAAGATATCTACCAGTGTTGTATGGAATAAATGGCGTTCTCCGCGTCTGCTGTTAGTTTGTCATAGAACCCCACTAAAAACAACACCAGACTAATTGTACATGCTCTGTACACCATCTATCAGGATTAAATCCACTCTCTGACATCCAACCGATATTAAAAATTACCATAAAAAAACGCACCTCATAATGGAGCCAGGAGTCGTCAGCTGGTTTCACACTGGTTACTCCGATATCAGTCAGTTCGAGTAAATTCCACTGAATTATAGTCTACACTTGAGTTAAAAGTAACCGCATGAATGTGTAATAGCATTCTTCTTCATGCGTAAATGTGCTGCTACTACTAGTGGCTACGGTTCCTATTTTGTTTTCTTTCGGTCTGATATTCACTTGTAGTGCCGCTTTTACAAATCAGGAGTAGCCTGAAATTGTCACGAGTGGGTAAACACACTAATTAGATACTGGTGCGTGTGCGGAGCAGGTGATGATCGGACCTACCGGTGAACCCCATGTTCTTATCTAACGATGTACGTATGGGATTTTGTTAGTTTTGTCGTAATCAATCAATCAATGAATTGCCTGCCTGTATGAGGTACTTGAAGAATGTTGGAAGATGCAGCCAAGCTTGTAACATTATCAGTTTCAACTAAAAGGGGTACACAAACAGAAATAATAATGAAAGAAAAAACAATTTAAGCAATAGCTCGGCTATTCACCGATTGAAGGTCACAGAAACCATGGAACCAGAGGAGAAGCGACGGCGCAAACCGCCTAAGAATAGTGCAAAAAGTTCGATGCCGCCGCTAAACCGGGAAAGGGCAAGCAGCCTAAGGCTCCAGACTCGGAAAGAGAGCAACTGATGGCCCATTGTTTCAGATCGGGCCCCCCTGACAGCCTATCATCCGGCGCGGCGTGTTTGAGCCTTGAGGAGATTCCACACACTACGCAGGTCGGAGGAGCCCATCATTTCCCCCCTCCGATCGGGCCCAGACAGATACTACCAGGTCTGTAACGAGACTAGACAATTTTTAGATACCAGCAAAAACTTTAAGGTGAGAAGAGCACGACAACGTTGTTGCGTTCCTCCCTTTCCACCACGTCCCCATCGTCATCTGGTTCCCAAAGGGATCACCGGTTACTGTCCATCGCCCTTCTCCGACCCTCGAGTGCTATCCCACCTCATCTCACCTTTTCTTCCCCTCTTATCCTCCCTCCGCTAGTGGGAGCGTTATCGCTGATAACCCCCCGATCGTGAACCTTCCACAAATTGCACTCGAACGTAGGCCTGGATGAGAGAGTTGATCCCGTGGGTTTGGGTGCGATTGACGGTGTAGTCGCTGTTGTGTTGACCTTCAGCATTGACCTTGATCGGTACGAACCAACTCAATTCCCGTGTTTTGGACCCTCATCTCGTTTTCTTCTATATTTGGAAAATCTGTGCTCGCTTTATCCATATCTTCGTCTGTCATACCCCTTTTAGGAAATCGACGGAGCTAATATGTACCTGGAATCTTGCAGGCTACTCTGTATCATGCATTAGACTATTCTGGACGTCTGTTGGGACTTGACGTTTCCACAACGCCGCACGAGCCAATTTCTTGCCAGATACACAGGGGGAAAGGATAAGGGGTGGCTGTTTGCCTGCAAACGTTATCTATAGTTATCGCCGGACGATTGGGACGAGGCTCTTAAGGTTGCTTCCCCCTTCAACCATGTTGGCAAAGACTACGTACTCTTCTCCACTGGGGATGTCCACATCCCAAACACCAACGACATCTTACCACTCTGGACCATCCCACAAAGCAATCTTTACAACGCATCAAGATGGAATGTCATTCACGAGCCCCACGGAGTCGGAATTCTCGGAGGCACAGGATGGACTTGAGGCAGTCAGGTACGTTGTCCATGTGCTGTCGAGAGAAGGATATTGCGGGGAGCTGACACCTCGGTAGGTCCTGGGACGAGAAGCAGGTCATAACATGGTTGCATAGCATCAAGTGTGGTCAATATGAATCCTTGTTCAAAGGTAGTTTCTGAATCCCACTGATGTTGCAGCTGCGCGCTATAAACAGACGCTGACAGCATATAGCGAACAATTTCAATGGCAACAATCTTATCGAGTGTGACCAGAAGATTCTGCAAGAAATGGGTATTAAGAAAGTCGGTGATCGTGTACGCATTTTCGTCGCAATCAAGCAGCTCAGGAACAAATCGGTTGCCAACCGAAAACAAAGGAACATAGTAGGTTACTCTGAATCAAAATATTGTGTATTAGGAGCTTTAACTGATCCGATGCAGGATCAATTGGCTGCGCTTGAGTCAGCATATACACCCGCCTCATCACAATCTAGTCGTCCCTCAATTGGCCGCCAACCGACCTTGAATAATCGCCGATTCTCTCATACCGCTGATAATGCCCATGGCTACAAACCACCGTCGCGGCCAGGATCACCCCTGCGGGCCCAACGTTATGTTGCTAGCCCGATGGAGAGCGCTCGCAAGGAACAAGGGCAAGGCTACTTCGGTCACAACTCCTCTGGTAGTTCCGGCGCTAGTCGGAACCCAGCAACCCCTAACGAGGCTCAGAAGAGCCATTTGAGACAAAACCCTAGCATTGATGGCCTGACAATGGGGTCTCTTCCCCCTAACTCACCTGTTATTCGAATAATCTATACTGGCGGACAAACAAAAGTATTGAACATCAAACTTTGCAGGACAGCTGATGAAATCATACTGTGCGTGCTCAAGAAGCTGCAACTCCCTGAGCATCAATATCGGAACTACTGCTTCTATGTGTTAGATGGCCTGGAACCAGACCCGTCGAACTGCAGGAGGCTGGCGGATCATGAGCTTATGGAGATTTGTGAAAGTAACCACAAATCTGAGCGTGGCCGCCTCATACTACGGAAGATTCATGCTGGAGAGCCAGACACGGACGAGCTCCGGCGTGCCTCTCAACTCGCCATTGATGAAAGCCAAGCGACACATATCAATGCCCTGAATAGCTCAAACCCACGCACACAGTTTAAGATCCAACAACTCACCGGCGAACCCTGGCATAATATAAAACAACCGATTTCACCCATGTCTGCTCGGCATCAGAATTCGAGTGAGCATGATTTGCAATTGCTGAATACGGAGCGACACGCCGTGTCTAAATTACGATCGTTCTTTGGTGCTCGACCACCTAGCGAGATGATTATCCATGAAATCACATCTTACTTCCCTAGTCACCACCGGGAAGATATTGAGAAGACCATGCGCATGTCAATTCGGAGGTCGCAGCGCCTGAGCCGTGCGGCAAGTCGATTGAGTGTTGTTAGCAATACAAGTTACGCATCCAGCTTAAGAGATGCACCCCCTATCCCCAGTATTGCTGATACCTGGCTTAATACTGGTGCCCAACCCACTCGCGCTTCGAGGCCTCTTTCAGTTTCCAAGTTCAGCCTTCCTCAAGCGACGTATAGAGATTCAATCGCGTCAAGTTCCCTTCAACCGCTTCAGGAAGAGTCCCCCATTGAGCCAAATCGCAAATCATATGTTTCTTTCGATAGTGGTTCTGACGATCCCAGTACATCTCGTCAGAGCCTTGTGGATGAGAATGCAAGTGTTGCTGCAACTGACGGAGGCTCACTCAATGAACGATTGAGCGTTCTAGTTGCTGAAGATGGTGAAGAGGAAGACGACGGTCTTAATGACTTCCTCGCTGGAAACAACTTCGCGCCTAAGAATTGGATGAAAGGCTCCTTGATTGGTGAAGGATCTTTTGGAAGTGTGTTTTTGGCCTTGCATGCGATCACTGGAGAACTTATGGCGGTCAAACAAGTTGAGATACCATCGGCAACTAAAGGCACAGAATTCGACAAACGGAAGAACAGCATGGTTACGGCACTCAAACATGAAATTGAACTCCTGCAAGGTCTTCACCACCCAAATATTGTCCAGTATCTGGGTACCGCTGCTGATGACCAGTATTTGAACATTTTCTTGGAATACGTTCCCGGTGGATCTATTGCTACAATGCTCAAGCAATACAACACTTTCCAAGAGCCTTTAATCAAGAATTTTGTACGACAGATTTTGACAGGCCTCTCATACCTGCACAGCCGTGATATTATCCATCGTGACATCAAGGGCGCGAACATTCTTGTGGACAACAAAGGTGGCATCAAAATCTCGGATTTTGGTATCTCCAAACGGGTGGAAGCTTCTACAGTCCTTGGTTCCCGGGCCAGCGGCACAGGAGGTGGTCATCTACATCGGCCGTCGCTGCAGGGTAGCGTATATTGGATGGCACCAGAAGTTGTTCGACAGACCGCCCACACCAAGAAGGCAGACATTTGGAGCTTAGGATGCCTGGTCGTGGAGATGTTTATAGGTGCTCACCCTTTCCCCGACTGCAGTCAGCTGCAGGCCATTTTCGCCATTGGAAGCAACAAAGCCAGACCACCTGCGCCAGAGCATGCGAGCAAGGATGCTGTTGCATTCCTGGACATGACATTCCAGGTTGACTATGAGCAACGGCCGAGTGCTGACGAGCTTTTGAAGTGTCAATTTCTCGCCACGCCAATTGCGTGAAACCAGCCCGGCTGGATGTGGAAAACGAAAAGGAAAAAAAAAAAGAAAAAAAAAAGAAAAAAATTGCAATGTCTGATCGAGATTGATGAATACCCCAGGCGTAAATGCCGCTAAGCACGTTGAGATTTTTTAAGATCTATGAATTTTGAATGCTTGTGCTTTAATTATCATTCTTTGGTTACTTCACCATTCCTCTGACCCAGGATCGCACGGCATCCAACTCTCTGGGTTACCCCAACCAGCCCAGTCATAATTTCATTGTCGACATATAATAAAATGATGATGTATAGAACTGAACATAAAGTGTTCCCAATTCACGGACTTAAACTTTATTATTTTTGTATATTAATAGGCGAGATTCTATCCTGGTAGATCTGGGGATCGTAATGATACGCATATGTTTACAGTTTGGAACTTGCAGCTTGGAGGGATATCAAGGACGCTCAGTCCAGTCCGCAAGTGAGGTAGGCGACTAGTACTATGGATATTTGAACCGTCAAATGACTGGTCAGAGCGGATGGAATAATGTGCAATAAAAGTTCTAATAGAATAGAGCATATTTTACATGAATTTAACGAGTCAACAAAACTTCCATGTTACATATTCAATGCCAAGAAAACGAAGATGAGAGTAGAAACATTCGCTTGGGTGTACAGGACTGGCCTTCGTCAAGCGTTCCTTGATTAAATCTTGCAGAATCCCTCCGAAAAGGTTATCGTTGAGGCACCTTTAGTCAACCATCTTTCCGTAGAAAGGAATACCCATGGCACTGAGGAGAAGCCGGGCATCCTTGTCCGTCTTGGCTGAGGTGTGGATGGTAATATGGCAACCGGGAATCATCTTCGGAGGGTACCTAAAGATCGAACATACGTTAGCCAATGTCATTACGCGGTCCTATTCCGGTATTGGCGCCGTAGTAAGACTCACATATCATAGTTCACCTCAATTTCAGGGAACAGAGCCACGTTCTCGGGTTCAAGACCAAAGGTGATGTTTCCACTGCTGTCACCACTGCTACCCTTGACACCTTCCCAGTCCTTGATCCTGGGCATAACAACATCAACCAGCTTTCCAAAGAAATGCAACATATCTTCACCACGAAGTTCCGCCTTGACAGCAACGGTATCTCTGCCTGGTGCAATACTCCAGGTGGCCACGCTGGTCTTCGATTTGAAGGTTTCCACTCTAGCATTAGAGATAGCCTGAACAGCCATTCCTGCAACATGCAACCATGACGAATTTTCCTGGGCTGCCTGCTTTACGTAACTGTGAATGGTGATCCGTTCTAGCTCGGGGACATTATTGAAATTGATCGGCTTCCGGAGAAGACGGAGGACATCACCTCCTCGGGGTCCACGGAGCGGCCTATTCTTGTGGTATGGGGAGCTATCATCCCATGAGCGAAGACGAGGGGCCTTTGGTGGTGGCTTGAAACCTGGGGGGTTGTGAACATAGCAGAGGGTGAGGATGTCGGACGCGACGGTGGACTGATATGTTTGCTCTACTCGGGGAAGAGAGAAGGGACCCGGAACGTAGAGTCGAGAAGACGGATCGGATGGCGGAGGGGGCTGGTGAGGGTGTAGAGGACCACGATCATATTTGGGAGAACGGAATTGATAACTGGAAGTGAACGGTTAGAGACCAGCGTTGACCCGGGGGTTTGATCTGGATCGCAGTAGGGTCGAGGTAAACTCACCGACTTCGTGGCAATTGCTTCTTCCGTGTCTTGGTCCTTGCAATTGGATCGAACGATTTTACAGAAGCCTCAGAAAGCGTTGTCGAAGACAGAGAAGTCGCCGATTCAAGCTCATTGAGGTCGGCCGGCGCGGCCTTCGACGAGGCTTGGTCGGAGACATTGCGCCGCAAGCAGAAGCCCTGTGGGCGAGCGCTAGGCACAAATGCCCGTGGCAATGACCTTGCCAGGTATCTTGATGGCTCGCTGGCAGGCATTGTGGTCTACAGGGGACGTTGTCGCTGTAGACTAGTTCAAGACTGGGCATCCCAAAAATTGTTTTCCAGATCGGAGACAACATCGACTTCGGGACAAGATCACGTGGATAGAACAAAGCTGCCTGAACGGTCTGGCGGCCATCTCAGGCAACGAACAAAAGCTCCGCAAAAAGAAAGGCAGCGGAAGGATCCACATGTGATCAGCTTCAATCATCCCCGCGCCAAATCCAGCAAGCTAGGCATCCATAGCTTTAGATCGCTGCCGATCCGGTGCCAAAGTCATGGGTTATTGACTTTAGGACTTTACAGCAATTTTGCTTCCCTAGATTGACCACTGTCGCCTGCTGGATCTGGCGCTCCACTCGAATCGCCCTTGTGTCACCACATGTGATGTCACTGGACGATTTCAGCTGGAGCCTAGTATACGCAACTTCCTCGACTCACATCAGATTTCAGTCATCAGAAGAACTAGACACATGATATGTCTGGCAACATTACTTGCTCCCGCGCGCTTCATGGAAACTTTGGAGCCTGAACTAATACTTCCCCCATGTCGACGTATATCTAACCCTCATTCCACGACACCTGTCTCCTGCTCTGAACCATAACCAGCGAAAACCACATTACATCGTACAAAATGAGCGGCATTCACAGGTTTCTTACTAGGCGCGAGCGAAATAGCAGAGATGGAAAGAAAGATGAGGTACACTGCAACCCAAGATCGCTTAGAAGAAGTCTTTTATAAACCTAGCTTCGCTAATATTGCTTTCTCTCAGTCTTCGAATATTCTTTCCCGCCCTCTTTTCCGTGGCTTCTTTTCGTCGACTCAAGCGCCAGTAGATGCAGATGAGGAACAAAAGAAGGTGAGAAAGGTAGCTTCTACCTGCATGACCTATACAGTGGAGCTTATGAAAGCAGGTCAAACTCCTTGAGCGTCGCATTGCGCAGCTCGGTATCACCAATCTTAAAGAGGAACACTTCGGTTATGCTCTACAATCATCACATGCACAGGGCGATGTGGACAGAGCGTTTGACTTGCTGCTACTTCTCGAGGACTCTATAGAAGGAATCATAAGGGGATATACGCCAAGTACAAAGCTCCTAGGAGCCGAGAACCGACAAGGAGTCACCTGCTATTTAGACGCACTTCTTTTTGCGATGTTTGCTCGATTAGATTGTTTTGAGGCTATCCTATACAAATCCTTCAACGACGAGCCTCGTCGAAAACTTGTCATACTATTAAGGCTCTGGGTCAACATGCTGCGGTCAGGAAAACTTATAACGACGGATATTGTACGTGCCCTGTGTCTTGTTACACTGCGATGTGAAGAGACACTGACGGAATGTTTGAAGACCAAACACCTGCAGGACGCACTAGCTGAATGTGGCTGGGAAGATGCTGCCAGGCTACGCCAGCAGGACACGTCGGAAGCATTCACGTTTATTACAGGAAAGCTGGAGTTGCCCCTCCTTACTCTAAAAATGGACATCTATCATACAGGAAAAGAAGATGCGAGCGATGACCACAAGTTTGTCAATGAAAGGTTATTAGAGGTTGCGATACCAGAGCCACATGATGGAAGCACTGTCACACTCGAGGAATGTTTGGAGTCGTACTTCAACAATCGGATAGAAGTGAAACGACACCTTGAACGACGTAACACCGTGGGATCCACTAAATCAGTAGACTCCCTATCGAAGGGTTTCACGGCGCACGTCGAGACAGTGGAGATTAGCCCATCCCCCTCGACATCCCCAACAACCCTATCACCTCCTCGACTTGATGAAGTGACCCCAATCACGTCAGTGACAGAATCAAGTGGCTCTAACACACCTAAACCCAGGCGAAGCAGCATCGTTCAAGAACGTTTTATTCCTGGCCCAGAAGGCGATGGAAACGTGACATCACAACGAAGAGGCTCATATCGGAAAGAAGTCATGATGCCCGCATGGCAATTCTTTAGTTTGATACGTAAGGCCTACTGTTACGCTTTGTATATTTGCGGGTGTTAACATCGATCTAGCTTGGTATACGGATAATACGCCGACCAATGATGCGCAGGTCGCAGCACATTTCTCGTCAAAACGACCAATACTCGGCATGTGCCTAAAGCGTTATTCTATGTCACCAAACGGTAAAGCCATCCGACTTAATACCTTCATTGATATACCAACTGAGATTGGACTACCCCATTTTATCCAAGATGATAACTTGGATGAAGAGGGCCCGATATACGGGAATTTTAAACTGTCCTTGCAGGCAATGATTTGCCACAGAGGCAGCTCGGTTGACTCAGGGCATTACATTGCTATCGTCAGGGGCACCAGTGCTGGTGCTCCCCCGACTAGCTCTCATAGCTCGGAGACAGCTTTTTCGGATACCCCCCAATATTGGATGCGCTTTGATGACTTGGCCGCAGAGCGTGTTACTTTAGTTGATATTGAGCGAGCCCTGAAGCATGAGTCGCCGTATCTTCTATTTTACCAAATCCTGCCGGTCAATGAAGATGCTGCAGCGGTCAATTTGCCAGACACGGCACCTTCTTCAGAGATGTCGGATGATGTTCAGGAAATAGATACTTCAGCAATATCCCAGAAATTAAGCACTTCGGGGAATGATCTTCCTGAAAGTTGCCGTACGGAGGGACTCCGCTCAAACAGGCCGAGCTTTGAAATCACCGCCCCAGATAATGCAGAAATCCTGCCCCTGGAACAGAATGACAGAAAACATAGTGTGGCCTTCTCCGACGCAGTTGAGTCGAATGCCTCTGGAGGACTTCAGGTAGGAACTGTTCCGTCGATGTCACCGAGACTTGCCCCAAAAGACGACGATAGAGGAAGGAATTCCTTCTCGTTTTCTCGGCATACCTCAAGGAACCGGAGAAGCGCACCTGGCAGCCGTGCAGGAAGTCAAACTAGCGAAAGCAGAATTAGTGCTACATTCTCACGTTTTACCGGTCGACGCAGCAGGGATAAGGTCAACAGCGATGGCTTCTCGACTGAGGATGATGAGTTTACCGTTGAGAATATGCCGCCAGGCGAGGGAGCTATGTCGGCAAGCAGTGAAACCAACGAGAAAAGTCCTACACGCGGAAAGGACAGTACCAAGAGCAAAGGGAAGTCCAAGGAGAAAAGGGAGAAGCGTGGGCGAAAGCTGGAGCGGGAGTGCTCTATAATGTGAACGACGACTCTTTGACACTTTCATGATTGATGTTTTTCATGATCCCACACTTCTAGAAAGAGGCACTTGATACCCAGCCACTTGTCTTATTATTTATCTCAGTCATGCAAGTTCGGGACGGTGTTGCTGTGTATAGACTACGAGTGAATGCATTAGAAATAGATGGTAGGAGTGGGATTCTGTATGGCAGGAAGTCTGTATGTGGTGCGGTGCATTGTATTTATCCATAGTAGACTGGTCCACAGTAGGTAAATGGACGTGTTATAATGAATGCTTCATTACGGAGTATGACAGAACAAGAACCTTTTATGCCTCAGGCAAGAAGAGTCATGCCAAGGCATCAACAGCTGTCTAGCTTCCCCATCCCGCCCTATCGGTATCAATCGGTCAGTCAAACAGCTTGACACAACTTGAAGCTCCTTTAGCAACCCCTCGACCCTCTCTCTCGGGGAACCCGCTATGATATAGCACCTTTTGTCACCATTTGCGCATCATGGCGCTGGATGCATCAAACGGTTATGTTGCTCCCAGCAACTTAACTGAAACCCCCAACTCCGCACTCTTCGATGTCCGACGTGTTCAGCTCCAGTTCCCGCTCGCTGCGGATTTCGTCGCTGCGCAAGTTGCGAATAATGTACTTATCCTGGCCCTCGCAACCAATCGTATTCTTAGAATTGATTTGGAAGCCCCCGAAGATATCGACGGTATGTGGTGCCCTGTGACTTGCTGAATCTCCGAGTCCCCGCCTCGTTGCGATATTAATTCGACCGTTCTAGACATCGACCTTCCAAAGAAATCCTCGGAAATAGGAGTTATTCGTCGCATGTTCCTGGACCCTTCCGCATCCCACTTAATAATTACCACCACCCTTGGCGAGAACTACTATCTTCACACTCAGTCGAGGCAACCCAAGCCGCTGTCGCGGTTGAAGGGAGTTTCAATTGAGAGTATCGCCTGGAACCCATCGCTTCCGACCGCTTCTACAAGGGAGATACTTTTAGGAACTACCGATGGCCATATATATGAGGCTTATATCGAGCCCTCCACCGAGTTCTACCGCCGCGAGGAAAGATACGTCACCGCTGTGTATAAAGTGCCGGAGGCGTCGCCGGTGACAGGACTTTGGGCGGAGTTGGTTCATACGCAGTCGGAGCAGAGGCGCGTCTTGATAACGACCCATGGCAAGTTGACTTATTTCCTAGGGCGGACAGGAAGACATGGAAGAGAAGGTGGAGGCTCCATATATACCGATCTCTTCCAACGAGAAACACCATTAGTGCATGAGACCCAAAAGGCCTCAAACGCTGCGCCTTCAACCCTGGCCATATCACCAAGCGTTGCAGATGGTAACCCCGCGAAGGAGTTCGCCTGGCTTAGCTCTCATGGTGTATATCATGGCCAGCTTCCTTACTCTTCTGAGAAAGTGAACCAACCATTTGAGAGTGCGAATATGCTTGTGCGGTCATTCTTCCCAGCTACTGAATCTGCACGAGGAGGTAAAAGGCTTATTCAGAACCCTATTACTGCTATGACGCTTTCGCAGTGGCATATTCTAGCCCTTGTTGAGGGTAGGGTTATTGCCGTGAACCGCATGAACGAAGAGATTGTTTATGACCAGGCTGTACTGGAACCGGGACAGAGTACGCTGGGTCTCTTGGCAGATTCTACACAAAATACCTACTGGTTGTTCACGAATCAAGAAATCTTCGAGATCGCAGTCGAGGACGAGGACAGAGATATCTGGAAGGTGTTTCTGCAGAAACAGATGTTTGATGAAGCCCTCCATTACGCACGCTCCAACGCACAAAAGGATGCCGTTTCCACTGCTTCAGGCGACTTTCTTGCCAGCAAAGGACGTTATCAGGAGGCAGCCAAAGTCTGGGGTAAGAGTAGCAAGGGATTCGAGGAGGTATGTTTGACTCTGATTAATGGCGGGGAGCACGACGCTTTGCGGAAATACCTTCTTGGCCAATTATCAACCTACAAAAAATCATCGTCAATGCAGCGGATAATGGTTGCAGGCTGGTTGGTAGAGGTTTTCATGACCAAATTGAACTCCCTGGACGATAACATAGCCACCAGCGCGGAAGTGGCGGAGGGAACAAGCACCGAAGATATCAAAGGCCAACTCAGTAGTGTCCGTTCTGAGTTCCAGGAGTTCGTCACCAAGTATAAGGCGGACCTCGATAAGAAGACGGTGTACGGCATAATCAGTAGTCACGGTCGGGAAGAGGAACTGCTATATTTCGCCACGGCCGTCAGCGATCACAACTATGTGCTTTCCTACTGGATCCAACGCGAGAAATGGCCAGAAGCTTTGAATGTTCTCCAAAGACAAAGTGACCCTGACGTGTTCTACAAATACAGCAGCGTACTTATGACCCATGCAGCTACTGGTTTGGTCGATATCTTGATGCGGCAGACGAACCTTGAACCCGAGAAACTGATACCTGCTCTGTTGAACTACAACAAAATGTCAAATGTTCCGCTTAACCAGAACCAAGCTGTCCGGTACCTCAATTTTATCATTGTCAACCACCCGAAGCCATCACCTGCAGTGCATAACACACTCATTTCCATCCATGCTTCGAGTCTCTCCTCCTCGGAAGCAGGGCTCTTAACCTATCTTCAGTCACAAGCTTCATCTCCACCCCCGTATGATGCGGATTTTGCCCTTCGTCTTTGTATCCAACACCAGCGCTTTCAGTCATGCATCCATATCTACAGCGCTATGGGACAGTATCTCCAAGCAGTAGAGCTGGCTCTGCAGCATGAAGATATTGAACTAGCAGCTATCATTGCTGACAGACCGGAAGGGAACGATAAGCTTCGGAAGAAATTATGGCTTCTCGTGGCCGAGAAGAGGATTCAACAACCTGGAACCGGCATTAAAGACGCCATTGAGTTCCTTCGTCGATGCGAACTCCTCCACATCGAAGACTTGATTCCGTTCTTTCCAGACTTCGTTGTCATCGATGATTTCAAGGATGAGATATGCAATGCCCTGGAAGATTACTCTCGTCATATTGACGCCCTGCGCCAGGAAATGGATAACTCAGCACATACAGCGCGACAGATCCGATCCGAAATTGCGGCTCTGGATATGCGCTACGCTATCGTCGAACCCGGAGAAAAGTGTTGGCTTTGTTCACTACCCGTTCTAAGTCGCCAATTCTTCGTTTTCCCATGTCAACACGCCTTCCATAGCGACTGTTTGGGAAAGGAAGTACTCGAGGGAGCCGGTGGCAAAAAGAAGTATATACGGGATCTGCAAGCGCAGCTAAACAAAAGTGACATAAGTTCATCTCGACGGGAGGAGATTGTCAAAGAATTAGACGGGTTGATAGCAGAGGCTTGGTAAATTACCTCCCTCTCTCCTACCAAACAAGAAGAGCATTGTGCAGCTGACTCATAGATAGTATCCTCTGCGGAGACCATGCGCTCAAACATATCGATAAGCCATTCATAACGGCCTCTGACGCGGCAGACGACTGGGCATTGTGAGAGCAAGGTTTACATGCTATTCCCACTTCGCTTGTGCCGCTATCGTTTTATTAATGAGTTTAATCCTGGAGCGTTTCTCTTTCCGATTTGACGGGAGTCGTTCCAACGACTTCCGTATGAAAGAATACGATATGTTTATACCATTTGCCTTACAAGTTGTTAGAATATATCCCACCCCAATCCAGACGTCCTCATATACGTACGTAACCCAGACATTGACATTGAACATTATTCTATATAAGTAAAAGAAAAGCAGACGATAGTTTACATGTAAACCAACTAACCACCCAAACCTATTATATCCAAGACAGTAAACCATCAAAAAAATTCGAACGAACAGTAAAAAAAGAGAGGGGGGTGGTAGTAATCATAAAAGCCTCAAAAGTTCCAAATCCTTGGCAACAGCAGGACTAAAAGGCGCACAATCTTCCAAGAACTGCAGCATTTCCTGGCTCCAGCGCTCCCAGTCCGGGGGGAGCGTACTCCGCAGCCGGGCGTCAGGGGAGTGGGAGATACAATAGAAAAGGAGGACCTGGCCGAAGAATCTACATCGAATCAGTCTGGATAGTTCACTATGATGAACCTGGACGTTGTTCGAGAAGAGCTAGGGGAAAGAAAGGGAGACATACTGAGAACAAAAGGCAAATTTGATAGGAATACAACTTTTCATGTTTTGAAAGATGCCGCCGACGACGGGCCAGTTCATGGCGTTTTGGAGGCCGCTGCGAACTTGTTCGAGGTCGTCTTCTGAGAGGGAAGCGGGGATACGGAGGGCTTTGTAGAGGTATGGACGACCGATGTGGAATTTGGCGATCTTGAAGCGGCCGCGGAGCATTGCTTCTGAGACGGCGGTTGCTGGGGAGAGGGGCCGGTTAGGGTCTAGAGGGAGGGGGGAGATGGGTGTTGACGGAGACGTAATGGGGGTTGTGGTGGTTGCGTTGTTGGCATTTGCTGGGGTGGTTGTGTGGGTATCTTGGAATTGGATGGCAGGTGGGAGGTTGAGACGCCATTGCTCGAGTTGGTGGTGGAGCTCTGCGTTGATAGCTGGAAGTGGGAAGGTCCCTGAGTCGGCTGTGTGTGTGTGTTGTTTGCACTGTTAGTTTTGATATTGGATTCAGTGTGGGCTGGAGTGATAGGTGGCTTACAGTAGAAGTACAACGAGTGGCGGATGCGAGTGAGGATGATGCGGTGGGCGACCTGCGCGAGGAAATGGTATTGGAAGAAGGAGTCGTCTAGCTCTTGCAAGGAGGATCGAGGGGGTACCAAGCCCACAGTTTCGAAGGTGATGAATTTTGGAATGGGCACAAATTCCTCGAGTCGGGCGAGGCCACTAGGAGGGAGATGCAGTTCTTGCACTAGGATGGTCTCGTTCATTAAGCAGTTCCAGTATACGCGGGATTTCATATCACCCTCCCATTCATCGAAATTGACGTCGTGGCTAGAGGTATTGATTAGCGAAGCGCAGAGTGATAATAAAGCCGATGGACTCACTTGGTCAGCATTTGAAGACAACACGTAGCAGCGCGGTGAATCATAGCCCACGCATCCATCGGACGGAGGATTTGGCTATAGTAGACACTATTTCTCTGATTAGCCAATAACCTGGATTAGTAAAGAAATGGGTCGCGTACGATGACAGCATATAAAATTGACAACTCTGGAGGTCGTTGTCGCACATCAAGAAACCAATGCGTCGACGTGCCTCATTGAAAAAACGTAGGCCCAACGGCTCTTCATGGATCACCGCCATCCAATCTGGCGGTTCAAAATGATTACTCCGGGTACCGGGTAGTGGATAATTCCCTTCTTGATGAGCTTGAACAGCATGACAACCTAATGCTAAAATATTCAGGACTAGGCAGCTTTCTATTGTGTAGCCGAATCCGCTCTCAATTGCTGCCCAGATCGTGAAGGCAAAGTAGAAATTCTTATCCATAATTGGTGTAAAAGGATTGAAGGTGGCAAAAAAAGCATCGGAAAGACCTTTAATCATTGCCAGCGGAAGTGCCTCTAGCCAGTCATCACCAGCCTGTGGAGGATATGGACAAATGTACATGGGCAGCTGAGGTCTTTTGGCCTCCATGTCGATAACATAGTTCTTCCCTAGTCTTTCATGAGCTTCAAGTAGTCTCTTGGGGAGGATATCCCGGGCCCCTGGCCAGAGAATCACCCCATGCTGACTGAAGGAAATTGAGATTAGTCCGTTCGAATTTGTCGCTTTCTGATGCTCATCAAATTCAAAATCGTCGTGTTCTATAGCGTCAGGAGTAAGGCCCTGTGCCAGGGGATTCGTAACAGACGTTCGGACGTTGATACCCTGACTGCTGCGGCCCGGGGTGCTCGTATCTAATGGGCTATCAATAGTTCGAGGGATGGGCCTCTGACGTGACTGTAAATCATTACAGATGGAAGACGGAAGAGTTTCTAATTTGGTCTCCATTCTATGGAGAGTGCTCATAATCAAACTGAGCGAATGGTCTCGCCTGCAGAATGTTAGTGAGAAAAGCAATTGGTAACTAATGCGCTATAGAAGTTACATACTTGGACGATTTGCGTTCGTTGTAGACGCACTCTAGACCGAGGGACTTGCACAGACCACATTTTGGACGGGATTCGTCGCATCGGGTCTTTTTGAGCCTGCATGTTTCGCATGCCTATTGTACGGGTTAAAAATTGGAACATAATGTCACAGCTAGAGACGTCAAGGAAGACTTACTACTGTGGCAATAAAATTCCGAGGCTTTTTGCTAGAGCCTGCCGACTGTGGCTGATCTTGCGTTGGTGAGAGGAGGTCATTGATAGGTAATAAACCATTATGACTGTTATCGATATGCTCCGGCGGCTGCGAGCCACCGGGAGAGAATGACTCTTGGTACGAGCGCTTGCTCATTGTGCATGATTGGGCAGGAGGAATAGCCTCAGCCGGGATTACCGCAGGAAACCTGGATGCCAGTTCATAATTTCGACGCCAGAGATGAATCTGATATCGCGATCTTTTCCTATGATTGACTGATTCATTGGATTTCTGCCGGAGTGGAGGCGCCGAACTCCGACGAGCCAATCACCGGTGGGTCATGTGATGTTATCAATGCTTATCGTTATTTTAAAGTCAGATATCATCTTTAGATACTACGATCTCGCGGTAAAGCGTAAACATATCTCAATTACTCCTCCACTATACCCTTCTTCTTAGCTCCTTCATAGAATTCCACTTCATACATAGTGCAGCCACTAACCCCACACAGGCTGCAGCGACACCGGCCCAGAAAGCCCTTGTGACGGCAAAGTTGTTGATATCAATTACCCGTTCCTTCTCTGATGCAGGTACAATCTTCAGAAAACCCGTCGCTCCCTGCTTTATGACATTGCCAACGTCATAGATCGGGGACACTAGATAAACCCTCTCGAAGGAGGTTTGTGAAAATATTCTGCGACACGGAAATGGAAATTGCGGCACCAATGCTAATAGAGAAGCCAACCGCCGCGATACCAACGGGGATATCCTTCGCGTCAAGCGCCGTCTGAGTCGCCGACCAGGGTTGGGGGAACGCTAGGCCGATGCCGATACTAAGCATGACCTGCCAGCCGATCCAGGCAGAATCTGTGGTTCTTGGTGTGAAGCTTGTTAGGAACCCGAATCCAATAGCCATCATTGTTGAACCAAGCAGCATGAGAGGTATATAATATCCTATGGCCGAGACGATGAAACCCGAGCTGATTGCGGCAATAGAAAGACCAATAATAGATGGAAGGAGCATTAGTCCAGACTCAGCTGCTGTGGCACCCTTGATCGCTTGAAAAACCAGATCGGCAGCTTTAAGGTATATGTTAGCCATGGCTAGTTCGCTATCGTGAATGGCACACGGTCAGGTGACTTACAAAGTAATCTGTAACGTTAAAGGCCGCCGATGAACAGAAGGCGTATACTAAGCATAGTCCGGCGGTTCTGTTGAGTATCACAGATCTAGGAATTGTAGCGGCATCTTTCTGCAGCACCTCGAAAGCAATGAAGCCTCCAAACGATACTGCGGCGACCACCAGGGGAGCGATGACCCTACCGCTGCTCCAACTGTACGTAGTGCCACCCCATTGGAGTGCTAGCAGGATACAAACAACGCTTCCAGTGAATATGAGAAGGCTCATAATGTTGAGCTGCTTGATTTTGGTGAAGAATGGTTCATCGGTAAATTTCTGACACTCTGGGTTCTTGAAGAGGAAGATAATCACAATCATCGTGAACCCACCCACAGGGAGGTTGAGCCAGAAACTATCACATCACAAGAAGTGTCAGAAACCGGTCCTCCCGCACAATATTTGCATTACTCACCACCATCTCCATGTGACATATGTTGTAAGGGCACCCCCAATTACAGGTGCGACGACCATTGCAATGCACTCAAGGCCTCCGACGGTGCTATTGCATATTGGCCTCCAGCGAAGCGGAACTGTATGAGAAATTGCACTGACATACGAGTAATCAGTATTCAAAACATGGTTAGCTAGATCAAGAGGGGTAGAACTGACATTAAAACTCCGTTAAGAATCCCAGAGGAGCCACAGCCAGCGATGGCCCTTCCGACAATGAATGTAGCTGAACTCGGTGCCGAGGCAGACACAATGGACCCGATTTCAAGGATGGCCACCGCCATAACAAGAACCCATTTCACACAGAACTTCTCGTACAGCTTTTCAAAAAGAAACTGCGTTGAACATGTTGTAAGTCGGTCTATGATTCTCATCAGCTAATGATCAAGAGCCGACTATATAGAGCCCTAAATTACTGCTCTATATCACCTACATGCTGAGCCATACCATCCAATATCGGTCAATGAATCCCATTCATTGGTCAAGGTGGGAGCTGCTGTACCCACGATGGTATTGTCCTGTAGCCCTGCGGGTCAGTTGACGTGTTGCAGACCGCGACGCTAATACTTGCAAGCCCTAATATGAAGATCCCAAGTCCCATCGCAAAAAACACGGGCAGCTGCTGCCACGGCCGGAAATTCATTGGTTCATTGCTATCCTCTAATGCTTCCTTGATTGGAATTACCTGGATATCAGGGTCTGTCGCTTTGGATAACCTTTTCGCCATTTTCTGCCATACTATACAGATAACTGGTATTGCCAGTCTCCGCGGCTGCTGTCAACAAGACTAATCTTACCGGGACAATTTCGCGGCCAACAGAATAAGACTGCGTAGAATCGCAACAGAATGAATTGTGGACTTAGCAGAATGTTGTGAGACAAAGGGCGGGTGCCCTTGGATACCCCAAAGGACTACTCATGAGCGCAGCCTCAGTACATCCCTGCAGCACACCATATTCTATCTGGGCCACCGCGGAGCACCTATTGGTGATATCCTGGTCCGAAATAATATAAAAACAAAGATCGGTAAAGCAAGCGGCCCGGACCACAGCTAATAGACAAAGACTCCCTAGCATCAGTGCATCTACTATTGGCTATCACCCCTGTAAGCTGTCCAACTAAGTATCGCCGACTTAGCCGGCCCTATCTCCAGCCTATCTCCAATTCAGAATCTTTCGGTTTGTAGATAGTAACTCGTCACCCTAGGGAGTACGCCTTGTAGTATACCATCACCGTCAACGCTAGCGGCCGTGTTTGGGGTGCATACAGGTGTGTGTGTGTGTGTGAATGTAGGCAAGGAGGAGCAGCCCCCGGGGATCATGTTGCAAGATGAAACACGCTATATAAAGTTGAGTTTAATAGGTACATATATTTAATCAGATCAAGATATTACTGTACTACAGTACTCTAGGCATCATGAAATGTTTTAGATATTCCCCCCTCTTTCTGCCAGGAACTCATAATACCGCGGTGCACACCGTCTCCTCCACTTCTTTCCCCAAATATACACTGCCATGCCTGCCACCAACGACAGAACCACGCAGATACCGTAGAACAAGAACAAATAACCCATCCCCACAGCATTCAGAAACGGCTGCGTCGTCTCCGAAATGGTAAAATTGATGAAGGAACTGCAAATGGCAAGAATGACAACAATTTCTCCCCCCACACCAGGGAAGCACTCCATTGCGTACGCCGTTGCCTGTCATCACGGTTACTAGGTATAACAGGGCCAATAGACCCCCACGAGAACTTACAGTAGAGGTTGCAGCCACCTGTTGCGCAATCATGCTTCCAATGCCCACCGCAAGTGTAATCCAGTGTGAGCCTGCCTCAGCTCCCCAGCCATATATCTCATACCCCAGTCCGGCATAGAAGAAGCATGGGACCAGCGCCCACAAACGCATTTCGGGCTCTTTGATACCATCCTTTCGTCGGGCGAGGTAGATTACAATCTTGTCACCCAAAACACTGGTGAAGTAACCGATAACACTGCCGACTAGGGCGGAGATGTACACGAGGCCCGTCTGACCATCGGTGAAATTGTATGGAGGAGCTGATAGTGTTTCCGAGATGGTGTTATTGGTGACGATACCCGAGGTGCAGCCAAATGCAAAAATAACCCCGGCCTGGGATTTTTCAATTAGCAACTGTGTTCAAGCCCAACTGCACCAAGTCGCACAAGTGAGTCAGGTACATACGATGACAATGTTGGGAAATCCTAACAAGAAGAATGGCCGCTTGAAGTACGTCCAATATGATGTGTGATCTTGCGGATAGTAAACCCACAGCCTGAGTTTCTCCCGACACGTCCGCTTGGGGAACTGAGAAGGTTCTGGTGTATAGAAAGCTGTACCTTCTTCAACACTGGCATTATCCGCGATGACTGGTCCCTTCCCCTTCGTTGTTGCTGCCTCATCCTCTGGGGCAGCATCTGACTGGGCTAGTATTGTGGCCTTGTTCGTCGGACGTGTGTGGGAGGAGGTGAAGAGGAACCGGGGAAACATCGTTTCCTCGAAGGTGAAGAAGAAGGCGATGATTAAAATGCCCTCAGCAATAGACACAACCCATTGCGCCCAGCGCCAACCTGGTCCATCAGAGATATAGCCACCAGCAACCAGGCCAATAATCGAACCTAGCTGCTGAGCAAAAATGTAAACTCCTAGCATACGACCGCGCTGGTGGTCGAAGAATAAATCGAAGACAACAAGCTGAATGACTGCTTCGTAGGCCGAGGTCCCAAGTCCGTTGAGAATGTTGCTACCGAACCATTCCCCTGCGGTATGGAAGGCACCCATCCAGAGTGATGAGCCAATGCAGAGCAACAATGTCGCGAGGAAGCAGAATCGCCGACCAATCTTCATGGCGGCGGGGATCCAGAAAATGTTTACCAGACCTAATAATAGATAGTTGAGGGCACCCCCGCCGTTCATGATCGTCATCGTTGATCCAGTCATTTCTACAATGGTCGTGTAGGCGTCACCCGTGTTATTCTCACCAAACGAGAAAACGCAAGCATAGATTGAGATAAGAAGAAGATGCCAGTATTTCTTCCATCTCGACCAGTTCAGTGGGTCACCCTCGCAGGCTGTGGGACGCGGCAACAAGATGATGTCCGAGCCATCATGAGCGACATCCAAATTATGCTGGATGTCAACTAGTAGCTCGGTTCCGGGCACGTCGAGGTCTCGGTCTTGGGAGAACAGCATTGTGAAAGACCACAAAGCAGAGGAATTGAGTGTTGCGACTTGATGACCGCATTATCATCGAAAGTGTTGGATCTTTATACTTAGGTTAATTGGTACAAGCTTCATCAAGATATTACCGAAACACCTGGTTATCTACCGTCCATTATCTATTATCCACAGTCCGATAACAGTAATGAGTGGAGCGCATTGAGCAGAGGCTCTACCCCAGGTTCGAGCATATTGCTATGGTTTTTGGGGGGAGGGGGAGGAATGTCGATGAGAGAGACCAATTAGAATAGATACCATATGAAATCGCCTCCTCGATCTTCAGAGTCTGGGCAGGTCCAAGCGATAGATCGCTTATCACCATAGGTTCTAGGTGTACTAGCGTTGATCGGGGGATCCCGTTGAAATGACACGATGTGGATTTTAGTACTGGATTGTTGTTCACACTGAAACCACCCCATCATCGATCAGGGAAAGGGAGGCAGATGCGTGATTTGTTGCTTATTGTGCTAAGCATCAGCAAACCTGGAACAAGAATTCTTCGCGTCGACCTTCCATGACCTGTGCTTTATCTCCATATCTGCCAATACCTGATAGCCATGTCTTAGGTTGCCTGGAATTGCTAAAGTCAATGACATTGAAACTTGGGAAATCGTCCTATGTCTCTGGGAGGGTCATGAATCAAGAGTATAGTATAGACCTGCATTTTTCATTGTTTAGGGTAAAGCTTGACGCAATTATGTGCCCAATTCTCAAGCCCTAAGTTAGCCACCAACACAATTACTAATCTATACATATCATCTGGCTCTTTTGCGAAGGTGGTATGCGATCATAACTTATCGACAAAATTTATAATACAATGCGAGATTCCCAATGCCTCCATACAGATACATTTATCAGAAATCACAATATAGTTGAGGAAATATTAGTATCGAAGCCTGTTCACTCTTAAGGAGAACTTATCATGATGCACGTGGTGATTCCGTGACAGGAAGGCGGTGAATGAAGGAACTGTTCCGAATATCTGCGTTTGATGGACGCCACTCAAGAGCAACATTGCCCCGGCTGATACATGAAGTCAAACTAAGTAGGTAGTAGATTGTCTTATCAAAAGAAGGGCCTAGTGCTGGAATATAATGTCGCATAGGAATCGCCCTGGTGAGCGGGAGGATGTCAACTCGCTCACGGTGAGTGACATAGGAGATGACGGTCAGTTTAAGTCCGCCTACAGAAGACAAGAGTCATTAACTCACTGTTTTCTATAGTGGATTTGGCCTTGGATCCAAGCTTGTTTGACTTCTCTTTCCCTTTGATACCGCCACCATCTGAGCTGTGTCCTGTGAACTTACTGGAGACCGATCAACAACTTGGTCAACAGTTAACACCACAAACCACTTTTCTAGATCATGGTCTGGACAGAGAAAATCAACTAGTGTCATCTGGGGATGACTTTATTGACAGTAGTGCGTGGTTGCCTACTGATTCAGACCTCCAACGACTACACAGTCTCCTTCCTGAGGTCTCGAGCACCATAGCTGACGGCACTTCGGCTACTGAACCAGGCGTTAGTGCTCGGGTATATGAGCCTGCTAAGCCAGGTTTCAGCCAAGGCGTATCTGAACAAACCAATATACCCTCCAGCGCTCGTACTGGCCTCCCCCGGCGCAGGAGTCGCTATTTGATCCGACAGGAGCATCAACAGAGCGGCCCAATTTTTATCCCCAATGCGAATGCAATGGATCCCATGGAGAGATGGCGTGAATCTCCACCAGAGGATGAGCCGGCGTCTATATCAGCCATTCTGGACGCGTTGAAGAAAGCACCAACCCAGCGGTCGACTCAGAGGAGCAGCCACCCGGATACACGCAACACAGGGCACAATGCATTCCGCCATTATAGGCGAGCTCCGTCCGCAACAAGCGGTGAATCTAGTGGTTCATCAAATGCTTCTTTCGGCTCCGCTCTATCACACTCTCCGTCAGATGATCCTTTGAGCCGTATCTCTAAAGGTCGGGCCAGCAAAAATACCGTACGGGCACGGGAAAAAACTGATAAGCCTCGGCGATTTTGCTGTACGTTCTGTTGTGATAAATTCAGGAGCAGATATGACTGGGCTCGGCATGAGAAGTCTCTGCATCTGAACCTAGAGGCCTGGTATTGCGCTCCCCATGGGACCACCGTCTTCTCAGGAATGACAGGAAGACAACACTGTGCGTTTTGTAACGCACTAGATCCTAGTGCAGCACACCTCGATCAACATAACCATAACGTATGTCACGGTGACTCTGATAAGCGACGCTCCTTTCGTCGTAAGGATCATCTAGTGCAACATCTGCGCCTCGTGCATAATGTCGACACTTTGCCTCTCATCGACGATTGGAAGATCTCTCATTCTGCTGTCCCGTCACGTTGCGGGTTCTGTGATCACAGTATGGATACTTGGGAACAACGAGTTGACCACTTGGCTGAACATTTCCGGAAAAATACTACAATGAAAGATTGGAAAGGCGATCACGGATTTCCACCCTCCATTGCTGCGCAGGTTACGAACTCTTTACCCCCTTATCTGATAGCCGAGGAGTCTCAGAGTCAAATTCCATTTTCTGCGACCAACACACACGTCCAGGATCATTTTGCGCAGATCTCATCGCGCGCCCATTATCTCACTGAAGAGCAGAAAGCGAACCCGGACAAAGTTGCCGAAGATGCCAAAGCAGAGGCTGCCGCTAAGCAGAACATTTCCATGTCGGAGCTTAGCTCCTTTACCCAGGTTCTTACACTGCATTTAAGCCGCTATGCTCAAGAGAAAATAAAGCAGGGTGTTATGCCTACAGATGATATGTTTCAACAGGAAGCAAGACGAGTTCTTTACGACTCCGAGGACTCGTGGAATCAGACTATCGCTGATAACCCGGAATGGCTTTCTGCATTTCGACATCTACACTGTGCGGAAGGGAACAATATCGAGCCCAGATCTGGAGGGGTAGATCACCACCTGGAAGACACTCCTCAAACTGGTATGGGGGGGATGAATTAATCTGCTCACCTTTCACTGAAGTACTGTACGATGTTAAGTTCAAACTATTTATGTGTTGTTATAGTCCTCCATCCTTCACCCTCTTCCCCTTCCGCTGTATCCGCCACACCCTCTACAGTGGGTCACTACATACATGACCTTCGTCTATCACGCGCCTGTCCATATACTCAGCTCAGTACATGATATCGGTCGCCCACTGCTGAAGCATAGAGACATACTAACATTTAGTCGATTCGATGGTCAGTACCCACCCTGCGTTTTAGGGCCTCCACCAGCTCGGCACCCATCCAATGAGGAGAAATGGCAGAGAGCCTCTCGCGTGCTAAGTCGAGCACGGATTGTCTTGTAACACCGGGCTCTATGGTGTGTTTGTTCAATGGTGTAACCAACTGTAGCTTTCCTTCTGCAGCTCTCCAAATCCACCATAACCCCGGTAGGCCTTCATGCTTCAAGCACGATGTGGCACGATGCAATACACCCGCGGACGACTGCAAGCAACAGAGATCCATGGGGTATGATCTCTGGCACCTCTCATCCGGATACTGCAGACCGGACCATTTGATCCATAAATATCTTGTGGGTGGCTTATCCTGGGGTATCATCTGTAGAGACCGGCTCGGTTCATCAGTTCGAGTGACTTTGGAGCTTAGAGACGTCAAGTTCGTTGAGGCTAGACGGGCGAAAAGGCTGTCCATTAGTCAAGCGGTGAACTAACAGAGGTAGAAGAAGCTCATCGAGAGACATCCCAGTGGGCAAAGGCGATCATGGCATGTAGTATTCATAAACCTATGACACAAAAAGAAATTAAGAAGTACTTAGGACTAACAACCCATCTCAATGGAAACAACTGCGACTTATACTAGTGACGCCTTCGAGAGGGTCAAAGAAGGCACAGCCAACAACATACTTGGATCGCTGCCCATGATCGCTTCAGGTACTATTGAGTGATGGAAACACTTCATTCTCTGGTGGTAGAACATATTTCGTGCGTCAACCGAGACTGGGAAGACACAGCAGATATTGAAACGGGCGTCCAGGGCAAGGCGTAAGGTGTAAGGCGGCGGTTGAAATTTTAAACCAACTCAGACGTGATTGGCAGAGGCACCACTTCGTCTCTATCATGGAACTGCTGAGAATTAGTAGTAGATCGCTTCGAGTCTAACATAAATTCTCTCCGCCGCGCAGAGATGAATGCCGAAGTTGTTATGCCGAGAGGCGTAGGGCGTAGGGCGCGGCCGGCACATTCTGCATCGGGTAACCAACCCGAATCGAAGTGCTTAAAGACAGTCCTATACACCCTATGCACGCCCTATAGGTTTCGATGATTGTATATATAACTTATACATCGCAATTGGGGTTTCGCTAGCCTGCTGAACGGAATGTCTGGAAAATCGAATTTGTTATCATCCCACTCTCAATGCGATTGTTCTGTGTCAAGTACGGGCTCTTGACATCGCCTTTATCCCGACCAGTTTCAAAGATCAACCATTTAATGGCACGATCCTTTTCTATGTCTCATACAGAGTCATCATCAAGGATTCATGTCCTCGGGCTTGGAAGTATCGGCACCTTTACCGCCCATGGTCTGTCCGAAATCCCCAGCAGGCCCTCCGTCACTCTCCTTCTTCACCGCGAATCGCTGCTAGGTGGATATCAGGAGAACGGAAACCAAATTCTACTTACAACACGAGAAGGGTCCCAAATAGGGTACAGCGGCTATGACCTGGAGGTACATCGAACAAATGGATGGTATCCCGAGCCTTCATCACCCTCGTCGGAAGCCATAAACAGCAGCATCTCCCACCTCATCATCAGCGTCAAAGCAACACAAACCGTTTCAGCACTACAGCCCCTGAAGCACCGCCTAGACGCCAAATCCACCATCCTATTCCTCCAAAACGGCAGCGGTATGATCGACGAAGTCAACGAATCATTATTCCCTGACCCCCAGACACGACCCAACTACATAATAGGAGTCATCTCGCACGGCGTAACGCTCAATCGGCCATTCGACGTCACGCACACCGGCTTCGCAGCGATGTCCTTGGGATTAGTTCCCCGCTCAGAAGAAGCACCCCATCCCCAGGAGTTTTCAAGTTCATACCTCCTCGATAATCTCCCCCTATCGCCGCGGCTAAACGCAACATCCTACCCCTACACCAAAGTCCTGCAGATCCAGCTTGAGAAACTAGCCGTCAACGCCTTCTGTAACCCTCTTTGCGCCTTGAATGATGCGAAGAATGGTTTTCTTTTTACTCTCCCCGACACGCGGAGGGAGATTCTCACGGAGATCTCGAATGTCGTGCTTGCGTTGCCAGAATTGAGGGATGTTCCGGGTGTAGAGGAGCGGTTTGCTGTGGATAGGTTGGAGGCGACAGTGAATGCGATTCTCACTAAGACTGCTGAGACGACGTGTTCGATGGTGTGGGATTTGAGGGCTGGACGCGAGACGGAGGTGAGGTTCATTAATGGGTATTGGGTGAAGAGGGGGGGGGAGGTTGGGGTGAGGACGCCGGTGAATGAGTGCTTAGTGGAGAAGGTGACGAAAAGGAGTCGTAGAGAGTTGAAATAAACTTGGTACTGGAAAGCCTTCTTTCTTGTAAATGGATTCCCTGAGCTATATTATCCGTGCTACAGAGTCCAGCAGGACTCAGCGGTTCGGGCCTATTACGCAGGTTACTTTGGACTTTTCAGTGGAGCGACTATCAGTCTGGCCCCAGTGTGCAATTTCCTAAGTATGAATTACAGGACTATGGGAAAAGAATTGGCTTGACGACTTCGCAGCAACCGATGCGTCAGTGTTTGTTGCAAAGCTGAGGTATACCCGAGGAGTCAATGGCTTCGACCACAATTGATGAGAGCCATAATACGCTTTGGTAGTTTCGCTGTTAATGTCTACTCTACGCCTGTCGTTTTCTTTCTGTCTCCATGCCTTTCCATCCCTTGGGAGCGGGAGTTAACAGTAGTTTTTACTCTCTTCCAGATGTGTGGATCTGATCGTAGAAGGGCTATTTGTCGCTTTGTACGTGAATGCCCATTAGGCATATATACAAGTAAACCCTGCCACAAATATATATATATATATCTTCATGGATACCATGGATAGCTTATAAACCATTCTAGACATCATCCGTGATACTGGTCGAGTCTGTGTTACATACAATATATCTACAAGAAATCGATGTTAATCCTTTACACTCCGAAGAGAAAAGCCCTACCACCGATCTACAGGTTTATGCAAACAACAGACGGAGACTCCGGACAATTACTATCATAACTACATACATAACAAGAACTAGTCACTTTCCATGACGAAGCTTTTTCTAAGAAGGACACGTAGCTGCGCACATCTTTCAATTAGCGCGATACTATAACCAACCGACCGATGATTCTGCATCAAAAAGTCCATGTTGGATATATTTTACCCGTAGTACCGGACCAGTTCTACAGACCATGTTGGTATCAATCGAGTGGGTATCTGCTGACGATGCATACGTACTTCCTTCTATATTCTACAATCCACAACATACAACCCGAATAAAAATAGAAAAGACAGCGATAAAAATTCCAAACCCTCAACAAACAGGGCGCTTAACGGTATCCTCTATCAGGATTTCTCAAAGGGATGCGCTAAAAAGTTCTAGCTGGGGATCAGGTCCCCACCCGATATGCAGCGTCAGCAACACAAAAGCAAACACCATATCCAGTGGGATCCATGAGAAAAAAAACCACATCCAGCGGCAAAAGGTTGCTTTAGCTCTAGGTCTGCATGTCGCTGAAAACAGGCGATTCGGGGGATATTCCTTGGTATGTACATTACATTCTGGCGATGTGGGCGTGTACAGTGTGCATACAGTGTTCCAGGCACTAATGCACAGCCCACTAGAAATTTCACGACATGGAAGGGGAAAGCAAAGGCTAACGACAGTAGAATGCAAAACGGTTGAAGGCAGACAGTAGGTAGGCGCAGGGTAGTGGGGTATTGGAGGGTCTCATCTATGATGGAATCAAGTAAATCCATGCAGGGGGTGGTTGGGCGTATCGCTGTGATTCAAGATCGGTGCAATTGGAGTCGAGTCAAACGCGACGAAATCCCCTCACCCCCCTTGTGTCTTGTGTCTGGACTTTGAGCATGTTTCATAATGGTGATCTAACTGTTTTTTTTTTTTTTTTTCTGGAAGATGGGGGACAAGACAAGTGGTCTCGTGACCATGGTTGAGGTATTTCCTTCGGCGATAGAAAGAGAGAGAAAGAGAGCTGTCTATAAACTCAATTTCCCCGAGAAATATATAATCTAAACCACTAGTAGACTATTATCGATAGCTGGAGGTGGCGAACTCCTCTTTGAATAATTCTACGATCTTCCCCCTCAAACCTCGGTGCACACATACAGGATACATGCAGAGGTGGCAGGCAAGGGGGTAAAGACCACTTACATATGATATGCGCGGTAGATGATCTGTACCGATGTGCCGTGTAGACGCACATCTTCTGTGGGGATCTTTTGCAAGCGCCACAGGCAGATGAGCAGTTTATTTGGTTCTTGCTGCATGAACCTTTGCCTTTTTTTTCACTTTTTTTTTTTTTTTTTTTTTTCCCTTTCCTGAGGGGTAAGATAGATTCGTAATTCTCATTGTTGTTGATGTAAAAGAGTCGCCAGGGTGGAACAGATTTCCGATTAGGGATTTGTAGGGGGCGTTTCTCCGTATCCACTCAGGCGTACGGGGGGTCGACATGGCGAACACTCCCTCTCGTACCGGGGTCCCTTAGTGACTAGTAGTACTAGTCCCACCCCACGTATAGGGAAGGACAAAAGACCATGCGATTGAGGGATCACAGACCAAATAATCAGACCACAAATTGACTTCCTCATGGAAGTTGGTCATGTGCCCCCAGGAAATCTGGGGAACTCAAAAGTGGATCTCCGTTACCGCAGCCACGTACGGTGTCGGTAAACTCGATAAACTCGGTAATCTTACCCAGAGCTGATTGCGCCTGCGCCGGGGAATGGAAGCAAGTAGCTGGAATGGAAATACTGAAGTCTCGAGGGCAAAAGCAACCACCGGGAGATTTCCAGACGCGACTTGGTCTGTCGGAGGAATTGTGAACACAACCAAGCCTCCGGGAAGATCGTGCGGGGTAAATAAAGTAGTGATACTTCTTCGAATCAAAGAGGCAACGAGTGTCATGGATGGACCAACATTAGTTGGTCGATCCCTGAATGTATATCTGATGTATGTACTTTGTTGATGTTGCTATCTTGGCAATGGCTGGTCATCTCCTTGGTTGGTGGGTTCTCTATCATTCCCCCCTCCTTTCAGATTAGATGATTGCCGGGATTAATCAAACGAGATAGGGAACGTTATCCATACCCCATCTCTGATATCATCGACTGGGAAAGCGTGGCTTATCACTATTATCTACCGTCATAGCCAGCGATAACAAACACCCCCCCTCCCCCTCCACTTCAAAACATGGAGAGAGTCCATCTCCAGTTATTAGAGTTGCAACTGATAGCAACCGATTAGGTTTCCTATCTCAACATTGGGGTTGGGCCCGATTATGCTATCACCATGGGAATCGTCGTTACACTAGTCTACGAGATTATGCCTCAATCTAATCAGCTCATTCATGCCAATCAGGGGGTTCCAACCATCGACCCAAGAAAGGGTAATCATCCACACCTGCCACCAATTTATGATGATGAGGTGGCCAGATTACACAGTGAGCTCATTGTAGAACGATTCCTCAGCCGGGACAACCGAGACGGATGGAAAGAACGGAAGATATCCCCGGGGATCAACCCAGAAACTCAACTCAATCGAAGATAAAAGAACACCTGTTATAAATCTTTCAGACAGAAGAGTCACGAGTCCGAGTCGGAGTAGGAATAGTAGATTGTACTGGTACTTAGTTTGGTTGACCAACAACAACGGGTCATCGGAAGGGATGTTGGGGACTTTCGAGGATCGATCGCGTGATCCTCACCGGGGCATGACCTGAGGCCAATCGAGTTCGTCCGGATGGGGTAGAACGATTATCCTTGAGGACCCGTGGACGATGCCAACCCGACCCTTGACCAATTCATAGTTGAAGTCTTTTATGAAGTGCATACAGGCAGTTGAGACACGCAACCACCTACTGCAAGGACAAACCTTACAGACACACTCGACGAGGCGGTCAAGCGGCTGCAGCGTTTTCTTCTCCCTCACCGCCAAACATAACATTTCCTGGCAGGCTGGTATGTTCCTTAGTCACTTTGGATGGAGTAAGTAAGCATGCCATGCCAGCCACGGGGTCGCTGGTCGAAACGTCAATCTCCCTCGAGGCCGGGGCATTCGTGTCATTCCAGCTGTACTACATCATACGTTCATCTCCCCATCAATGGTCTACGCTGGGGTAATCCAGATGCGC